TTTAATTTTAATGTTTTGCAGATAGAGTGGGAGGGACAGAGAGGAAGAGAGAGAGGGAGAAACATCGATGTGAAAGGGACACATCGAGTGGCTGCCATCCACACAAGCCAACCAGGGCCGGGGACAAACTGCAACCCCGAGGCATGCACCCCTAGTGGGAACCAAACCTGGGTCTCTCTGTACCGCAGGCCGATGCTCTAACCGCTGAGCCAAACTGGCCAGGGCACATTTATCTTTAGATAGAGCGGGAGGGAGAGAGGGAGGAAGAGGGAGAGAGAAACATCAGTGTGAGAGAGCCACATCGACTGGTTGCCACCCACATGACCCCAACCAGGGCTTGGGACAAACTGTGACTGAGGTGTGTGCCCTTAGTAGTAACCAAACCCAGGACTCTCTGGTCCATTGGCTGATGCTCTAACTGCTGAGCCAAACTGGCCAGGGCTATTCCAAGAACTTGATCAATAATTTTTTATACCACACATAACTTTATAGAGGACAGATAATATAGACCTCTTTATTATTATCAACCTAGATGTGAGAGTAAAAATATAAATAATAACAATAGAGAAGGGATGATAAATATCAACCTTCTACCTTCTCTCTGCCTTGCAAGGGAGGGAGGGAGAGAGAGAGAAATATTGATGTGAGAGAGACACATTGACTGGTTGCCTCCCACACAACTGCAACCAGAGCCGGGGATCGAACCTGCAACAGAGGTATGTGCCCTTGACCAGAAATTGAACCCAAGACCCATCAGTCTGAGGGCCAATGCTCTAACAGCTGATCCAAACTGTCCAGGGCCACCATGAATCTTTTTTTTTTTTTTTATCCTCACTCGAGGACATTTTTCCATTTTTTGTTCAGGTAGAGTGGGAGGGAGAGAGAGGAACAGAGAGAGAGAGAGAAACATCGACGTGAAAGGAACACATCGAGTGGCTGCCACCCACACAACCGACCAGGGCCGGGGACAAACTGCAACCGAGGTACGTGCCCTTAGCAGGAACCGAACCCGGGTCTCTCAGGACCGCAGGCCGATGCTCTAACCGCTGAGCCAAACTGGCCAGGGCCCACCATGAATCTTTGAGTGAAGCTTTTCCCGAGCATAATGTGGGCTTCAATGTCAAGAATGCGTCTGTCACCCCTGCCAGTGTGGCTCACTTGATTAAGCATCATCCCATGTACCAAAAGGTCACCGGTTTGCTTCCTGATCAGGTCACATACCCTGGTTGTGGGTTTGATCCCTGGTTGGGGGTGCACATGGGAGGCTACTGATTAAAGTTTCTCTCCCCCCTCTCTAAAATCTAAATACACACACACACACACACACACACACACACACACATTTTTAAAGAATGCATCTATCAAAGATTGTGACAATATGGCTGGTGACAGGAAAATGACCCACCAATGGAAGCAGCTGGTTTCACAGCTCACATGATTATCTCGAACCATCCAGGCCAAATCAGTGCTGGATATGCACCTGTGTTGGATTGTCACACAGCTCATACTGCTTGCAAATTTGCTGATCTGAAAGAGAAGATTGATCATTATTCTGGGAAAAAGCTGGAAGATGGCCCAAAGTTTATTTTTATTTTTTTTTTTATATAAATTAACCCATTTATTATAGGCTAGCGATGTTTCAAATTATGGAACTTCTGGTCTTTCCATGTCTTCAGTTTTCTGATGGAAGACTTTACTGTGATGACGGAAGTGGCAGTGTTGGTCCAGGCGCCACCAGCTACTGTTTTCATGCAGGAACCACAGTGCCAGATCCCCATAGCTCGTCTCTTCATCTTGGTTTTGCCACAGAAGGAACAAGTGTGCTTGGCGTGCTGGCTGATTTCAATTTTCTTCACCATTTTTAGGGAGGCACCATAACTGGTCCCATTTTACCGACGATTCCAGTTTTCTTAACGTATTTAGCCATGTTGCGGTAAAGTAGGTGGGAATCCAGAGAGTGGCCCAAAGTTTTTAAAATCTGGTGATGCTGCCATCATTGATATGGTTCCTGGCAAGCATACATGTGTTGAGAGGTTCTCTGAGAATTCTCCTCTGGGCCATTTTGCTGTTCATGACATGAGACAGACAGTTGCTATGGGTGTCATCAAAGCAGTGGATAAGAAGGCAGCTGGAGCTGGGAAAGTCACCAAGTCTGCCCAGGAAGCTCAGAAGGCTAAATGAATATTATCCTCAATACCTGCCACTCCAGTCTTAAGCAGTGGTGGAAGAACAATCTCAGAACTGTTTGTCTCAGTTGGCCATGTAAGTTTAATAGTAAAAGACTGGTTAATGATTACAATGTATCATAAAACCTTCAGAAGGAAAGGAGAATGTTTTGTGGACCATTTGGGGTTTTTTGTCGTGTGTGTGGCAGTTTTTAAGTGATTAGTTTATATATATATAAACTAATGCTCATCCGAGGACATTTTTCCATTTTTTATTCAGATAGAGTGGGAGGGAGAGAGAGAGAGAAACACTGATGTGAAAGGGACACATCGAGTGGCTGCCACCCGCACGACCCAAGCAGAGCCGTGGACAAACTGCAACCGAGGTACGTGCCCTTAGCGGGGGCCGAACCCGGGTCTCTCGGGACCGCAGACCAACGCTGTAACCGCTGAGCCAAACCAACCAGGGTTAAGTGGTTAGTTTTTAAAATCAGTACTTTTTTTTAATCCTCACAGGAGGACATTTTTCCATTTTTTGTTCAGATAGAGTGGGAGGGGAAGAGAGGGAGAGAGTGGGAGAGAGAGAGAAACATCGACGTGAAAGGGACACATCGAGTGGCTGCTTCCCGCACGACCAACCAGGGCCTGGGACAAACTGCAACCGAGGTACGTGCCCTTAGCGGGAACTGAACCCGGGTCTCTCTGGACTGCAGGCCGATGCTCTAACCGCTGAGCCAAACCGGCCAGGGCTAAAATCAGTACTTTTTAATGGAAACAACTTGACCAAAAATCTGTCACAGAATATTGAGGCTCATCAAAACCAAGTTATTTGTTTGTTTTTTTTATTCTCACCGGAGGACATTTTTCCATTTTTTGTTCAGATAGAGTGGGAGGGAGAGAGAGGAAGAGAGAGAGAGAGAAACATTGACGTGAAAGGGACACATCGAGTGGCTGCCACCCACACGACCAACCAGGGCCGAGGACAAACTGCAACCAAGGTACGCGCCCTTAGTGGGAACCGAACCCGGGTCTCTGGACCATAGGCCGACGCTCTAACCGCTGAGCCAAACTGGCCAGGGCAAAAACCAACTTTAATGAGAAAAAAAGTTTTACTGTAGGCGCTCAAGTGAAAGGTAATGAGATCTGGAGTGGAAATAAATATGAAGATATATATTTGAGAACCGGTATGAAGATAAGATCACCATGATTTGGGGTTTTTTTTAATGTAGGGGCCAAAAGAGAGACAAAAATATGGAACTAAGTTGTCTGGGAAGATCTTACTGTAACTAACAAAGAAAATCACAAAAGGGGAAAAAGGCAGATTTAGGAGAACATGGCAAGTTTCTTTCAAACATCCTTCGGTCTTACACCAGTAAAGAGTCTCAGCTTTTCCATAGCAGTAGCTGCAGCTCTGTCTGAGACTAAAGTTCCTTTCCCCTGGCCCTGGCCAGGTAGCTCCGCTGGTTACAGCATCATCCTGATAAGCCAAGGTCGTGGGTTCAGTCCCCCATCAGGGCACATATAATAATCAACCAATGAATGGACAGATACGTGAAATAACAAATCTCTCTCTCTCTCTAAAATCAATCAATCAATAAATAACAGAATAGTAAAAAAATAAAGAATAAAGTTCCTTTCCCACTACTCCTGGGACACATTGCTTTTCCGAAAAGATGAGACAACAACTAGATTTTTTGTTTGTTTGTTTTTTTAGCCTCACCTGAGAACATTTTTGCACTTATCTTCAGATAGAGCGGGAGAGAGGGAGGAAGAGAGAGAGAGAAACTTCAACATGAGAGAGACACATCAAGCGGTTGCCACCCACATGACCCCAACACCGGGGACAAACCACAAGGGAGGTACTGCCCTCAGCAGGAGCCCAACCGGAAATCTCCTGTCAGTGGGCAGTGGCTCTAACCGCTGAGCCAAACCGACCAGGGCCACAACTGCTTTTTGAACTAGGTTATTATTATTATTATTTTGTTAATTGAATTTAGAAAGAGAGGATGGGAGGGAGGGGGAGAGAGAAAGGGAGAGAGAAAAAGATAAACGTGATGTGTGAGAGAAACATCCATTGGTTGCCTTCCCTAGGTGACCCAACAAGGATTGAGCCTGCAACCTGGGTATGTGTCCTGACTGGGAATAGAACCTTGATCCTTCGTTACAGGAGACAATGGTTCAACCAACTGCGACACACTGGCCAGGGCTAGCTTATATTTCTCACACATTGGCTAGCCAATTTCTCACACCTCTCAGGAAATTAGAGTTTGCTAAATAACAAAAATACCGGCATTTATATACATAATCCCCTGGTTGTACAAATTAAACCACCGGCCCTCTCTTGGTTTAGGGAACCAGGGCCTTGAAAGAGAAACTATCTTCACCTACTTAAAATAAGCTTGTACATGACAACACAGAATAATCCGGTGATCCTTTCCATGACTATGCATCGTGTTTCTGCATCATTTTTAATGAAAACAAAGTAGTAGTGGAAGCATAAACTGGGGGTGCTCAGAATTACTTCGTTCTGATGCCAAACATACTGGGAGATGAGGCTTACATCCTGGTTACATTCTTCGAACAGAGCTGCGTGCAGAAATAAAATACGTTTCCCAGCGATCTCCGCGCGGTAAGACGCCAGCGAGGGTGGGCGGGAATGAGGCGGGCCTCTATGTGAAGAACCTTCCTATTGGTGCGCAATCCAAAGGGCCATGTAAACTTGTGGGCGATTGGACGGATTCGTGCACGCTCAGAGGCGCCGCGACGCTCCCTGGTTTAACTTTTGTTTTTCCGTTGGGTTCCGAGACGCGGCGGCTTTAGTGTGGCGTGAGTATAGTCCTAGGTTTTGCGGCGCGCGGCAAGGCCAGGGCCTCTCAGAAAGAAAACCCTGGTGAGGGAGAAGTAACTGTGAAAGCAGTGCGGGAGAGGGGTGTGAGCCTGAAATGCTTGTGTGTGTGTGTGTGTGGGGGGGGGTCGTCAGGAGGCCTGGGGACCGGAAGAGGAAAATTACATATTGCAAAGAGAAAGATTTCCGGGTGCTGGAGCATTGGGGAGCTGTAGCGACGAGGGAATGGAGAATGGGCTGAAATTGAACAAGGGATACAGGATTAGGACGTCCTGGAGATGGATTCCGGTATTCTCTCACCCTACTCTAGTGTATATGAAGCCTCAATCTCTTTGTTAAATTAAGGGATAATAAAAAACACTTAACAGAATTGTTATAGGCGTAGCTAAAATAAATGTCAGAGTGCCAAACAAATATTAACTGTAAGTAGACAGGCTGTAAAAAAGTATTCCTAAACGAGGATATCGCAGAGAAAGAGGAATCGAAAGTAGCTGAAACCCATTTATCTGTAAGCAAGGTCATGGTAGGTTTTTTTTGTTTTTTTTTTTAATCCTCGCCCAAGGATATTTTTTTTTCCTTTTGATTTTGAGTGAAAGGGGGGTGGGGGTGGGGTAGAAACATCCATGTGTATTCGTTGCTTCCCACACGTGCGCCAGCCAGGGCCGGATCCAGCTCGGGTTGCAAGTACATGCTCGTGATCTGGGAATCAAACCGGAAAGAAACCCTTTGGTCTGTAGGCCACGCTCTAACCACTGAGTGGCCAGGGCAAGGCCATTTTGCGGGGACGGGGGGATACAATAAAGGCTAAGGCACAATTTCTACCTGCAAGGAGCATGCACTACCATGGGAGAAATTAGAACAATGAAGAACTCTAATATGTTAACTTTTAGAGAATACAAATGCAGTTCTTTTGCAGTTAGAGGTTATTTTGATAGATCATTTTGGATGGAGAGATGCAGGAAAGAGATGAAGGAGGTAGTATTTGAGTTTTTATGTACAGACTGGGTTTCATTAAGTGAAATTATGAGAGTGGAGCGAGCTGTGTTCCAGTTGGAGGAACAAAGGAATGGAGGCAAGAAAGTTACCTGGACATCTATTGTATGGTTAGAGAAGTAAGGCAGGAGAGATAAGTTTGGTCCTTAGATAGAAAGCAGTGACCTCTAGGTTGAGATTGATTTAATGCATTTGGCTGAGGGGCTACTGATGAATTTTATGATGTTTAAGAAGATGGTCAAGCCCAGCTGGTGTGGCTCGGTGGTTGACTCAGGCACTAAGAGGTCGCCAGTTCGATTCCTGGTCAAGGCATGTGCCCAGGTTGTGGGCCAAATCCCCAGTGGGGGGCATGCAGGAGGCAGCCAATTGATGTTCTCTCTCATTGATGTTTCTCTCTCTCTCCCTCTCACTTCCTCTCTCTCTAAAATCAATAAAGAAAAAAAATTTTTTTGAAATCTCAAGGGGAGACCATGGGTGAGTAGAACAGTGAAACCATTGTAGTAGAGTGGGTAAGAGGATAAGAGATCCTGAATTAGCATGGTTATTGTAGAAATAGAATATAGATGATTTTTATATGGTTGAATGAGAGAGTCAAGAGAAGTAGTAATGAAATAGTGAATTAAAATTTTCAAGTCTAGCCCTGGCCGGTTTGGCTCAGCGGTTAGAGCATCGGCCTGCGGTCCGGAGAGACCCGGGTTCGGTTCCCGCTAAGGGCACGTACTTCGGTTGCAGTTTGTCCCCGGCCCTGGTTGGTCGTGCGGGTGGCAGCCACTCGATGTGTCCCTTTCACGTCGATGTTTCTCTCTCTCTCTCTCCCTCCCACTCTATCTGTACAAAAAATGGAAAAATGTCCTCGGGTGAGGATAAAAAATAAAAAATAAAAAAAATAAAATAAAATTTTCAAGTCTAGGTTGCTTGGAAGGTACTGAATTGATACCTAAAATAGGAAAGTCAGAAGGAGCATGTTTGGATGAAAACAATGATGTATTAGGTTTAGGAGGTGTTCATTTTGAGGTGTTAGAAAAATATGTGATTTAAGTGATTTTTCTTTTTTCTTAAACATTTCAAGCTCCAATGTGACATATAGGTGAAAGTGTTCATTACATAGTTGGAAATTTAAATCAGGAGATTGAAAGAGATCTATTTGTTCATTCAAAAAGGAGTTGTTACTCTGTGCCAGGTAGTGTTTTAATGATAGAGGTACTCATAAAAGCAGTGAAGATAATGACATTTCCATAGAAGTGGATAGAGGAAGTAGTGAAGAAAGTTGAAGGCAGAACCTTTTGAACAAAGGAAGGAACACTTTTAGTAAAAATAATAATCTGCAGTTACTGAGTACCTGTTATGTGTCAGACCATGTGCTCAGCCCTTTTATTCATTAGTTCAATTAGTCCTTACCCTGACCTATAACATATATGCTATTCTCCCTATTTTCTGAGAAGTAACTGAAATTTGGAAAGGTTAAATAACTTACCTGAAATCACATAGCTAATTAGGCTTTGACTCAAACTCACATCTGTTTGATTTCAGAGTCCACGCTCTCAACTGCAAAGCAATATTTTTAAAAAGGGGTTGTCAACATTGACAAATTAAGCATACAAATCAAGGAGTGATTTGTTGAATGATAGATGGGAACCCAAAAGAGCAATTCAGTTTATTAATTTGTATGTCTGCTGACCAAGAACAGCAGGTTTAGCTCATATGTTGTAGTAGAAGTCAGATTGTTAGAAATTATAAAGTAAATTTGAGCGTACACAACGTTTTGTAGTTTAGTAGTCTAAAAGAGGGAATGGGAATGAGGGAGGAGAGATCGCAGGTTGGAAGGCTGTTTTAAAGTTCCAAGTTTCTCTTAAATCGTTTTAGAACAGTGATATTTATCTTTAAAATGTCACCCATATTTATAAAATGAAATATTATTTGGCCATAAAAAGGCATGAAGTACTGACTCATGCTACAGCATGGACAAACCTTGAAAACATTATGCTGAGTGTCAGAAGCCAGTCACAAAAGACCACATACTATATGATTGCATTCATATGAAAGTCCGGAATAGGAAGGTCTATAGAAACAGAGTAGATTAGTGGTTGTTTAGGGCAGAGGTGGGGTAGAGCACAGGAGTGATAGGTAAAGGATGTAAGATTTCTTCTTTTTTTTTTTAAATCCTCACCCGAAGACATTTTTTTCCATTTTTTGTTCAGATAGAGTGGGAGGGAGAGAGAAAGAGAGAGAAACATCAACGTGAAAGGGACACATCGGAGTGGCTGCCACCCGCACTACCAACAGGGCCGGGGACAAGCTGCAACCAAGGTACACGCCCTTAGAGGGAACCGAACCTGGGTCACTCTGGACCACAGGCCAACGCTCCAACCGCTGAGTCAAACCGGCCAGGACTAAGATTTCTCCTTGAAGTGATGAAAATGTACAATTAACTGTGAATATATTCATCATATACTTTAAATGACTTGTATGGAATGTGAATTATATCTTAATAAAGCTGTTTCTTTTTAAAACAAATATTTTTATTTAATTTAGAGAGAGAGGAAAGGAGGAGACAGAAACATCAGTGTGAGAGAGAAACATCTGTTAGTTTCCTCCCATACACACCCCAACCAGGGATCAAACCCACAATCCGCATACTAGTCCTGACTGGGTTTTGAACTGGTGACCTTTCGGTGCACAGGATGATGCTTAACCAACTGAGTCACACCAGCCAGGGCTCAATAAAGCTGTTTTTAAAAATGTCATCTGTAATCCTATCCTACCAACCCAATTACCATTTTTATTTTCCAGGTTATTTTCTACAAGAGGCAAATTGGCCCAATTTGGAGAAGTTTTGTAGAAGGAGGTGAGTTTGAAGAAGGAAAATGATCATTTAAACAAGAAAATAAACCCTGGTCAGTTGGCTCAGCCAGCGGTTAGAGCTTGGCCTGCGGACCAATGACTCGTGGGTTCGATTCCTGTCAAGGGCATGGTATGTACCTCGGTTGGGGTTCATCCCTGGCCCTGGTCGGTATTGTGCCGAAGGCAACCAATACATGTGTCCCTTTCACATCTATGTCCCCCCCCCCCCCCGCCCTATATGAAGATAAATGGAAAAAATATCCTCAGGTGAGGATTTAAAAAAAAAAAGAAAATAAAAGAGAGATGGCATATTTGAAGAATTGGCTGGTAGAAAGCAAATAGAATAACAAAAGCAGAAACAGATTTTTTTTTTAAATTCTTACCCAAATATATATATTTTTGTTTATCTTCAGATAGAGAGGGAGGGAGAGAGAGAGAGAGAAAGAAACATCCACCTGAGAGGGACACTTCAAGTGGTTGCCTCCCACATGACCAGGGTCAGGGACGAACTACAACTGAACTACATGCCCTTGACTGGAATCAAACCCGTAACTCATTGATCTGCGGGCCGACACTCTAACCACTGAGCAAAACTGGCCAGGGCAGAAACATTTTCTAGCTAGATTGGACAGTAGAAGAAAAAGATGTTGAATATAGTCAAATTCATACTTAGGATTTAAATTTTATTTATTTTAAAAAAATGTATTGAGCCCTGGCTGGTTGGCTCAGTCTGTTGGAACATTGTTCTGTACACCAAAAGGTTGTGGGTTTGATTCCCAGTCAGAGCACACACCTAGGTTGTGGGTTCGATCCCCAATTGGGTTATGGGAGACAACCAATTGATGTTTCTCAAAAAAAAAAATCCTCAGGTGAGGATTAAAAAAAAAATGTATTGCGCACCTACTGTGAACCAGGCACTCTTAGTTACTAGGGGTGCAACAGTGAACACAGTAGATAAAAAATGCCACCCGCCCTGGCCGGTTTGACTCAGCGTATAGAGCATCAGCCTGTGGTCCAGAGAGACCTGGGTTCGGTTTCCGCTAAGGGCGTGTACCTCGGTTGCAGTTTGTCCCCAGCCCTGGTTGGTTGTGCGGGTGGCAGCCACTCGATGTGTCCCTTTCATGTCGATGTTTCTCTCTCTCTCTCTCCCCCTCCCTCCCTCCCACTCTATCTGAACAAAAAATGGAAAAATGTCCTTGGGTGAGGATTAAAAAATAATAATAATAAATAAATAAAAAATGCCTCCCTTACTGAGTTTCCACAGTCTGGTGTGGTGAGTCAATAAGTAAAATATGACAAGTGTTGTGGAGAAATGAAAACAGAGAAGGTGGGTGAGGGAATGCCACAACGTCAGGGAGGAGTTCCCCAAGAAGGCAACATTCAAGCCCTGAAGGAGAGGGAGAAAGCCATGTAGTAGGTAAAAGGGAAAAGTGCATCATAGGCAGAGAACTGCAGGTGCAGGAGCTCTGAAGTAGTTCACTTGGCATGTTTGCAGAACAGCAAAGAGGCCAGTGTTGTTGGAGCCATGAGCAAGAGGGAGAGTAGTAGATGAGATCACAAAAGTAATGGGATAGCCGGACCATGTAAGACCTCATAGGCTGTCTTAAAGACTGGCTCTCTGAGCAAAATGAAAAGTTACTGGAGGCTTCCGAGCAGAGGAGTTTTGTGTTTCGACATTTTAAATAATCACTTTAATTGCTGTGTTGAGAAGAGACTGCAGCAGATGGAGTTGAGAGTGGAAGCATCCAGGCAAGAGATTATAGTAGCTTGGACCAGGGCATTATTGACATAAGTGGTTGTCAGACTTTAGATATGTTGGTGGTAGAGCCAGTAGGATTTGCTAATGGATTGAGTGTAGCATTGTAAGACAAAAAAAGGAATAAAATTTCTATTAAGTTTGTTGTCCTAAACAACTGACAAAATAGTGTTGCTAATTACTGGGACATAGAATTCTGAGAGGTGGTCAGATTTGGTGGTAGGAGGTATATATGAGGAGCTCAGTTTTGAACTTATTAAGCTTGTGAGACCTATTAGACATCCAAGTAGAGATACAAAGTAGGTGGTGAGATATGTGTGAATCTGGAATGGAGAGCCTCTAGAGGACTAGAGGTGTACACTTGAAAACCATGAGACTTCATGGCAATAAGTATAGATAAAGACAAGGAAGAACTAGCAGTGACTAAAAATCAATGGCCTGTGAAGAAGGAGGAGAACCAGAAACGTGTCCTGGAAGCCAAATGAAAAAAAGGTTTCAAGGGCTAAAGGGGAGGCATTCTGGAGTTCCTAGCAGGAAAATGGTTATAGAATTAGCAATAATGACTATCTGTTGCTCCTTTTCACAAAAGTCTTCTTCAAAGGACTGAAGATTGTAAGCAGATATATACCAGGTAGAACAGGACATTACATCATCTCTTGACTGGCTCAAAATCAGAATGGACTGACAAACCATGATGATAAGAAAGCTTTCTTCAAAACTAATTAAAAAAAAGGAAACCTCTCCCATTTCCCTTCTCTCCCTACCACCCTCTTGCCTTTCTTTTCTCCCACTCTTTCCCTTCTCCCTCCCTCACCTTGGTATTCCTTCCCTGAGGTTGATCTTCCTGTAAATCTCTGAGATAAGATTATTCAAAGTGGAGGAATGTAAGATCTATCTTAGGAGCAGCTCTCAAGAGCACAGGAGCAGCAGTGCCTTTCCCTTCCCCCCAAGCTCTTCACCTTTTCTTTCTCTTTCCTAAGCTCCAAGGGCTCCTTTTTGCTTCTGGAACTTGTTTCCTGAGCCTACTCAGCCCAGTGGCTCACTTCTACTATTTCTGTAACTTTCTAAATAAACTTTCTCTAAAAAAAAAGAAAAATCTCATCAATTAAAGCTTATAAATAATATTTTTTCTTTCTTTAAAACAGTAGATACAGCACACCAAATAAAGATAATATCAATGGCTTTGTATTTATCTTAAATTTAGCATAATGGGTCCTCTACCTTAATTTCCACTTACTATCTCTTGCTTATTAGAAATTTTCTGCATCATCCTCTCCTATAATTTCAGCAGAAGGATTGTAAGTTTGTTTTGCATTGTTGCAGATGACCTTCATACTAAGGAGGCTTTTCTTTTTGTGCTTATCCATCTAAATATTAAATGCCATTCACATTTTATTTGAAAATAATAATGACAAAGAATACCTTACGAAAATTCAAATAATGAATAATGAAGTCATAGAACTTCAGGATTCAAAACTACTTAAAAAAATTTTTTTTTTCTTTATTGATTTTAGAGAGGAAGGAGAGAGAGATGGAAACATCAATGAGAGAGAACAATGATTGGCCGCCTCCTGCATGCCCCCCACTGGGGATCAGGCCCCCAACATGGGCATGTGTCCTGGCCAGGAATTGAACCAGTGACCTCTTGGTGCATGGGTCAAAGCTCAACCACTGAGCCACACTGGCCGGACCAAAACTACTTCAAAGAATAGTACTACACTCAGCGGTTAGAGTGTTGGCCCGCGGACCAGAGAGTCCCAGGTTCGGTTGTCACTAAGGGCACGTACCTCAGTTGCAGTTTGTCCCCGGCCCCAGTTGGGGTCGTGTGGGTGGCAGCCACTCGGTGTGTCTCTCACATTGATGTTTCTGTCTTCCTTCCTCTCTCCCTCCTGCTCTGTCTGAAGATAAAGGCAAAAATATCCTTGGGTGAGGATTTAAAAAAAAAGGAATAGTACTGCATTTTATTTTTTTATTATCCTCACCTGAGGACATTTTTTTCATTTTTTGTTCAGATAGAGTGGGAGGGAGAGAGAGAGAGAGAGAGAAATATCGACATGAAAGGGACACATCAAGTGGCTGCTACCCGCACAACCCAACCAGGGCTGGGGACAAACTGCAACTGAGGTACACGCTCTTAGCAGGAACCGAACCCAGGTCTCTCTGGACCGCAGGCCAATGCTCTAACCGCTGAGCCAAACTGGCCAGGGCTATTTTATTTATTTTTAAGTGCCCTTGACGAGTTGAACCTGCAACACATTGGTCTGCGGGCCGATGATTTAACTACCAAGCCAAACCGGCCAGGGCCTAGTACATACTACTGTACATTTTAAATCACTACATTCTCACCAGCTGGCACATGTAATGTTGGAGATAGAAGCAATCTGTATGTTCTATACTGTTTTGTTCTGTTCCTGCCCTCTCATTCTGAATTTTTGTGTTTGACAGGTGTGAAAAAACAGCATGAACTTTACCCCTACATGTACCCCTGTCTGCAGAAAGTAAGACATATGCTTATTTTTTGAGTTGTTAAAGAATCAAGACTTCTTCTAACCAAATAATAAATTTAATAAAAAAAGAGAGAGAGGCGCAGTAGTTCCAGCCGGTTCTCTCTTCTGTCTTCAGAGCTGGTGGCCCTCCCACCTGCTGAGCAGCTAGGAAGCTCCTGTCGGCGAGCTTGTAGGAGCTTAAAACCATCGTACCCCTCAACTCTCACCAGATGGGAAAAATGGTTGAAGCTGATCGCCCAGGAAAGCTCTTTATTGGCGGCCTCAATACAGAAACAAATGAGAAAGCCCTTGAAGCAGTATTTGGCAAATATGGACGAATAGTGGAAGTGCTCTTGATGAAAGATCGTGAAACCAACAAATCGAGGGGATTTGCTTTTATTACTTTTGAAAGCCCAGCAGATGCTAAGGATGCAGCCAGAGACATGAATGGAAAGTCCTTAGATGGAAAAGCCATCAAGGTAGAACAAGCCACTAAACCATCATTTGAAAGTGGTAGACGTGGACCACCTCCACCTCCAAGAAGCAGAGGCCCTCCAAGAGGTCTTAGAGGTGGAAGAGGAGAAAGTGGAGGAACCAGGGGACCTTTCTCACGTGGAGGGTACATAGATGATGGTGGCTATTCCATGAATTTTAACATGAGTTCTTTCAGGGGACCACTTCCAGTAAAAAGAGGACCACCACCGAGAAGCGGGGGTCCTCCTCCTAAAAGATCTGCTCCTTCAGGACCAGTTTGCAGCAGCAGTGGAATGGGAGGGAGAGCTCCTGTATCATGTGGGAGAGATAGTTATGGAGGCCCACCTCGAAGGGAACCCCTGCCTTCTCGTAGAGATGTTTATTTGTCCCCAAGAAATGATGGATATTATACTAAAGAGAGCTATTCAAGCAGAGATTACCCAAGCTCTCATGATACAAGAGATTATGCACCACCACCAAGAGATTATAGTTATCGTGATTACGGTCATTCTAGTTCACGCGATGACTATCCATCAAGAGGCTATCGTGATAGAGATGGCTATGTTCGTGATCGTGACTATTCAGATCATCCAAGTGGTGGTTCCTACAGGGATTCATATGACAGTTATGGTAATTCACGTAGTGCTCCACCTTCCCGAGGGCCCCCATCTTCTTATGGTGGAAGCAGTCGCTATGATGATTACAGCAGCTCACGTGATGGATATGGTGGAAGTCGAGATAGTTACTCAAGCAGCCAGAATGATCTCTACTCAAGTGCTCGTGATCGGGTTGGCAGACAAGAAAGAGGGCTTCCCCCTTCTATGGAAAGGGGGTACCCTCCTCCACATGATTCCTACAGCAGTTCCAGCCGTGGAGCACCAAGGGGTGGTGGCCGTGGAGGAAGCCGATCTGATAGAGGGGGAGGCAGAAGCAGATATTAAAAACAAAACTTTGGACCATTTTTCTGTTCAAAGAAACAAAAGTGGAACTTATTCTGTCATAATTACCCAAGGACTACTAAAAGAAAAAAATTGTGTTACCTTTTCAAAATTTTCCTGTTAAGTTCCCTTTTCATAATTATGTTCTTGTGAGGAAAAGTAAAACATGGTTAATCTTATGACAAGCAAATGTTAAGTGTGTTAAGGCTTTAAGGAAAAAATAAAAATAAAAGACTTCTGTAGCTTTAGTGCAAGTTAGTTTAGGAATTAGAAGGTTTTGGAAGCATACACCCAAACTCTGGATTTGAACTATATTAGACTTATTTCTCTATTCTTATTATGTTGAATTTAGGTTAAGACATAGGACATACTAAATGGTAATACCAGAGCCAGGCTGGTGTGGCTCAATTGGTTGAGCATCGTACCATGCACCAGGAGGTTGCTTGTTTGATTCTCGGTCAGGGCACATGCCTGAGTTTCGGGCTTGATCTTCAGTAGGGATTGTGTAGGAAGCAGCCAATTGATATTTCTCTCTCATCGATGTTTCTATCTCTCCCTCTCTCTGAAATCAATAAAAATATTTTTAAAAATCTGAATACCAGAATCTACATAGTTTTAGTGGTCCTAGAAGGGTGGCAGTGTACTTTAGATTACAGAGGGAAAAAACCAACATATACATGGGACTTGGAATTCTGGTTCTGCTGTCACCTTGCTGCATGACATGTCTTCCTCATCCTCATTGCCACGATTCCCATCTGCAGAATATCAGAAATACCTCTTAGCTCATCAACTATTCCCCAGTTCTGTTATAAGGCAACTGTCTTGGAAAACATGAAACATCAAGTAAAAGACTATTTTGCCACGAGTTTTTTTTTTTTTATAGATTTTAAATTGATTTTTAGAGAAACATATCGATGTGAGAGTAAAACTGCTCAGCTGCCTCCTGCATACCCTGCAGGATTGAGTCTGAAACCTGGGCCTATGCCCTTACCGGGAATCAAACTGGCAATCGTTCAGTAGGTGGGACAACACCCAGTCCACTGAGCCACCCTGGCCAGGGCTCTCATGAGCTTTTAATGATTGAGACAATATTAGATTTTTTTTCTTCATGTTAGCTGAAAGTACATTTTATTTTATTAGTTATTTTTTAATCCTCACCTGAGAATATGTTTCTATTTATCTTCAGATAGAGTGGGAGGGAGGGAGAGAGAGAAACATCGTTGTGAGAGAAATACATCGACTGGCCACCTCCTGTACAACCCCGACCAGGGGCAGGAGATGAACTGCAACCAAGGTATGTGCCCTTGACCAGAATCGAACCCTTGACTCATTGCTTCTTGGGCCAGAGCTCTTAACCACTGAGCAAAACCAACCAGGGCTATTAATTTTTTTTTTGGTGGTACATGCCCCTAGCGGGAACTGAACCCGGGACTCTCTGGTCTGCAGGCCAACGCTCAACTGCTGAGCCAAACTGGCCGGGGCACATTTTTTTTTTTTTAAATCCTCCCCCAAGGATATTTTTCTCTTTGTCTTCAGATAGAGTAGGAGGGAGAAAGAGGGAGAGAGACATGTACATGAGAGGGACCCATCAACTGGTTGCCTCCCACATGACCCCGGTCAGGGCCAGGGACAAACTGCCACCGAGGTACTGCCCTTGGCTGAAATCGAACCCGTGACTTGGTCCGCTGGCCGACGCTCTACTGCTGAGCCAAACCAGCGAGAGCTATTTATTTTTAATTGATTTTAAAGAGAGGAAGGGAGAGAATTCGCTCTCTGACGAACCATTGCCTTCTGTACGTGCCCTGACTGGGGAATTGAACCCGCCATCTTAGTGTGTAGGATGATGGACACTCCAGCCAACTAGCCACACTGGCCAGGGCTGAAAGTACATTTAAAAAAATTTTTTTTTCTTTATTGATTTTTAGAGAGAGAAAAAGGGAGAGGGAGGGAGAGAGAAGGAAACATTGATGAAAGAGAACATCGATTGGCTGCCTCCTACACACCTTCACATTGGGGATTTGGCCCACAACCTGGGCATGTGCCCTGACCAGGAATCGAACTGGCAACTTCTTGTTGCATGGTTTGATGCTCAACCACTGAGCCACACTGGCCAGGCTAAAAATACATTTGAATATCTCTTCTATACATGCTCACTTATTATAAGTGCTGATCATAATCTTCATTAACTACAACTTGGCTTTTGCTATCAAGTTTCTTCACTCTGCTGTCTGTTTTGTTACCTTGTAAATTGCCATTAGTTAGCCAAAAGGGATTAATTTTCACATGAGGGTTTCTTCACTTTAGCTTCAGTTATTTTCTAACTTTCATTGTTTTAGCTTAAAAACACTTCTTGTCCAACCTTTTATTACCCTTATATCTTGTCTAGTCTTGGTCTAATGTAATTCAAATGTCTCCAGTGGTAGTGATTAGGATCTGATGTGTTTGTGTGATTAATAACTTGGCTGTATTTCCTAATGCTGGCTCTTGTATAATGTTACTATGAACATTTTCTTATATATCACTTTGTGTATATGTGCATGAGTTTCCTAGAACAAGAGAAATTGCAGTTTTACTAGATTTTGCCAAATCATTATCTGTAGTTTCATCAAGTTATACTTCAGCAGTGTATAATTGTTCCTGTTGGTGTATGTCTTATAGTATTAAACTTTCCAACTGTTATTATCTGGTCTCACTTGATGTTCCATTTTTTTAATGAATTTTAAAAATTAATTATATACATTTTAAGAACATAAACATCTCTTTAAGAAATTATGTTTTATAAATGTTAAGATAGTTTAACGAATAAGTCCTTTCTAATTTCACATAGGCCAACAACTCTTTCCAAACATGGTGCTGCATGTGGCCTCAGTGGTTCCACCAGGTGGAAGGGAGTGTCTTTCTCAGATTCAGTGGAGTCAACTCCTTTGCCTTCCATTGAAGATCGTCTGGCTGTCCTCTGCCCTTCTCAGGAGCTTCTGGAATATTATCAAAAGAAGATGGCTGAGTGTGAGGCAGAAAATGAAGATCTGTTGAAGAAACTGGAACAATACAAAGAAGCTTGCGAAGGACAGGTAAAAAAGAGATGATGCGTGCCGTTTTAGGATTCTGATTAAGTGTATTCATGACAGAGAACATCTAGAAGTGCCAGCTTGTATCACCAGCAAATATTTTTCAATTCCCTTCTACCCCAGCCTAAGCTACCTACTTTGGGTCCCTTATTGGACCATAATCCCCCCAAACTGCTCCACCTCTAAAATCTTAAACTCTGACATCTCAGTCTCTCTTATGCTTCTAGTTCTTTTACTCCTGTACACCTGACTTTATTATTACCTCCATGGCTCCTTGACTTTTCAGTTTCCCAAATGTTGTATATCAGTTTCTGACATTATATCCTTCCCTTCTAACCTGAATCCCATCATGCTTCACTTCAGTAAATCTGTACTGCCTGCACATGATCCCTTGCTTATTCTTTTGCTCCACCTACATATCTAAAACCCTAGCTATAATTGAATCCTAGTCTCTTGGAGCAGGGTTTGTCAACCTTGGCACTACTGACATTTTGGCCTTGGTAATTCTTTTTTTTTTTTTTAAATCCTCACCCGAGGACATTTTTCCATTTTTTGTTCAGATAGAGCGGGAGAGAGAGAGAGAAACATCGATGTGAAGGGACACATCGAGTGGCTGCCACCCGCACGACCAACCAGGGCCGGGGACAAACTGCAACCAAGGTACGTGCCCTTAGCGGGAACCGAACCCGGGTCTCTCTGTACCGCAGGCCGATGCTCCCACCGCTGAGCCAAACCGGCCAGGGCAGCCTTGGTAATTCTTTATTGTGGGGTATATCCCATGAATTGTAGGATGTTTAGCAGCATCCTTGGCTTCTACTTACTAGATACCAGTAGCACACATACACACCCACCTACCCTAACCCCACCCCCAGTTTTGACCATCAAAAGTGCCTACAGACATTGCCATATTTCTCCTGGGACACAGGCAAAATTGCCCCTAGTTGAGAACCACTGTCCTAGAAAGGTCCCAAATCATTATAAAATAAATACATAATAAACAAATTATCTGTATCCTGTCACTACACAACAATTTCCTCACCTATCCCTAGTCAGTTCCTGTTCCCTCCCCATCTGTGCTGTACCTTCCCTACTCTCTTGCAGCCTGCAACCCCATCTTACCGGTCTCTCCTCAGGCTACCTTGCTTCCTGGTTCACAGAGGAAATGCCAGCTGTTGTGCATGACTCCTTCCCACTCATCCACACTGTCACCTACATGTGTCTGTTGCTCTTCTTACTGCTTCAGGGGCAGGATGTCACAGCCTCTTCAGGCTGAATTGGTCCAACACTCCCTGGCCCTCATCCCTTTTTCCTCCTAAGAAACCCTTCTTTAGCATCTCTCTTCTCTTTGTGTTTATTTTTTTTATTATTTTTTTAAAATATATTTTTATTGCTTTTAGGGGGAGAGGCGGGGGGGGGGGAGAGACACTGATGTGAGAGAGAAACATCAGCTGGTTGCCTTCCACACACACCCCAACCAGGGATTGAACTGGAAACCTCGGCATGTGCCCTGACTATGAATTGAACCAGCAACATTTTGGTGGTGTAGGATGAACCACACCCACCAGGACTGTTTTGTTTTATTTTTTTTATTCCTCACCCGAGGATATTTTTCTACTTATTATCAGATAGAGTTGGAAGGAGGGAGAGAGAGAGAGAGAGAAACATTGATGGGATAGAGCCACATCGACAGGTTGCCTCGCGCATGACCCGACCAGGGCCAGAGACGAACTGCAACCCAGTTACATGCCCTTGACTGGAATCGAACCTGGGACTCATTGATCCACGGCTGACGCTCCAACCTTTGAGCAAACTGGCCAGGGCCTGGTTTTATTTTTAACTTCGTCTTTAACATGGGCTTTTTCTCCTCAGTACTGTGTATGAACATACTCAAGTCTTTCCCGACTTAAAAAAAAATTCTTGAGTTGTGCTTTCCCTCTAACTACTCTGTTATGTAAATAGCTTTTTCTTTTCCTAGCCCCACTTCTAGAATTATTTGACTTTATCACCCACTCATGACTCTGTGACTGCAGTTTGGTCTCTCTCCTTACTGTTCACTAGAACTACTCTTGTGGTCCCTTCTGCCAAAATGATCTATTCTCTTGGTGACCTCTGCAGTATCTGTCAATAGTGACCTCTGCTTTCTGAAAAGTCTCTTCCTTTCTTGATATCTGTGTCATATTTCTTTTCCAGGTTTTTTAAAATTTATTTTTCTTTATTGATTTTTAGAGAGAGAGGAAGGGAGAGGGAAAGAGAGATAGAGACATTGATGAGAGAGAACATCAATTGGCAGCCTCCCACAAGCCCCCCACTGGGGATTGGCCCACAATTTGGGCATGTGCCCTGACCGGGAATCGAACTGGCGACCTCTTGGTGCATGGGTTGATGCTCAACCACTGAGCCATACTGGCTGGGCTCTTTCCCAGTTTTTATCTTAATTATCAGTCTCCATTAACAGTTCCCCTTCCTTAATCTTTAATGTCAACATTCTTGCAGATTCCACCATAAATGATCTTATTTTTATCCATACTACTATATATGGAATGATAACATCCAAAATAGCTAACCCGAGTCTTTTCTACTGAGCTCCATGTTAATGTGTTTATATCTAAAGTAATCTCCCTTTTTCTGTTTCTTTCTTTCTTTTTTTTAATCCTCACCAGAGGATATTTTTCTATTTAGCTTCAGACAGAGTGGGAGAGAAGGAAAGAGAGAAACACCGGTGTGAGAGGAACATATTGACCGGTTGCCTCCCACACTACCCCGACCAAGGCTGGAGATGAACCGCAACCAAGGCATGTGCTCTTGACCAGAATTGAACCCGAAACTCTTCGGTGTGTGGGCTGATGCTCCAGCCACTGAGCCAAACCAGCCAGGGCTAATCTCCTTTTCAACTCTGCACACATACATATCATTTTCCTTCCCTCCATTTCTTATCTCAACTTTGTCTTACTAAATGGTATGATTGCCTATAATTCTGCCCAGCTCTCATATTCAATCATTTAGTAAGTTCCATTGATTCTGCTTTCTAAATATCCCTTAATTCATTCCAGTATCTTCATCATATTTCCTCAACACTTGTTCAAACTCTTGTTATAGCTCACTTACATTATTACAATATCCTCTTTAAACAGTATGCCAGCCTCCAGTCTCATACCTCTTCTGTCTGCCTCTTTTCACTCTAGTAATGCTGAAACGCTTGTAGTTGTCCAACATTTAAGACTCTTTGATGGTTCTGTATTTACTGTTTTGTTTTTTTTTTCCCTGAGAGTACTCACCCTCATCTTGTCTCTAGCATTCTTCATGTTTCAGGTTTCAACTTTTTCTTTTTTATTTTATTTTATTTTATTTTTTTATCCTCACCCGAGGACATTTTTCCATTTTTTGTTCAGATAGAGTGGGAGGGAGAGAGAGGAACAGAGAGAGAGAGAGAAACATCGATGTGAAAGGAACACATCGAGTGGCTGCCACCCGCACGACCGACCAGGGCCGGGGACAAACTGCAACCGAGGTACATGCCCTTAGCGGGAACCGAACCCGGGTCTCTCAGGACCGCAGGCCGACGCTCTAACCGCTGAGCCAAACTGGCCAGGGCAACTTTTTCTTTTTTAAATCCTCACCCAATGATATGCTTTTTATTGATTTTAGAGAGAGAGGAAGGGGGAGAGAGGAAGGGGGAGAAAGAAAGAAGCATTGCTGTGAGAGAGAAACGTTGATTGGTTGCCTCTCATATGTACCCCAACTGGGGATGGAACCTGAAACTTAGGTGTGTGCCCTGATCCAAAATCGAACCCACAACCTTTTGGTGTATGAGATGATGCTCCAATCAATTGAGCCACCTGGCCAGGGCCAAGTTTCAGCACTCTTTTTCTTTGTTTTAAATATGTTTTTATTGATTTCAGAGAGTGGAGGGAGAGGGAAAGAGAGAGAGAAACATCAGTTGGCTGCCTCCTGCATTCCCCATGCTGGGAATCAAGCCCACAACCCAGGCTTGTGCCCTGACTGGTAATCAAACTTACGACCTGCTGGTGGATGGGACGAAGCTCAAGCAACTGAGCCACACCAGCTGGGCCCAAGTTTCAACTTTTTGATGGTAGTCTCAGACTTCCAAAAAAAGCTTCAGAGATTTATTCCTGCTGTACTTTACCCCTCTACCATTTTACCAGACATGTTCCTCTGTTAAATAATTATTTCAACTGTTTGCACGTCTGTCTCTCCACAAAATTCCTCAGCTCTAGGCAGGAAACATACCTTTTTATCTTTGTGTTCTAAAATCTCATACTGCTTATTGAATAGAAAGCATTTTTTTAAAATTGTGGCTAGGCCTGGCCGGTGTGGCTCAGTGGATTGAGCATCGTGCTATGGACTGAAAGGTCCTTTTTCAATAACTGGTCAGGGCACATGCCTGGGTTTTGGGCTCCATCCTCGATAGGGAGCAGGCAAGAGGCAGCCAATCGATGTTTCTCTCTCTCTCTCCCTTCATCTCTCTAAAAAAATCAATAAGCCCTGGCCGGTTTGGCTCAGTGAGTGGTTAGAGCGTCAGCCCACAGACCAGTGAGACCCAGGTTCGAGTCCTGCCAAGGGCACATACCTCCGTTGCGGTTTGTCCCCGGCCCTGGTTGGGGTCACACAGGAGGCAACCCGTCGATGTGTCTCTTGCATCAATGTTTCTCTCTCTCCCCCTCTCTCCCTCCCTCCTAATCTGTCTAAAGATAAATGGAAAAATGTCCTCGAGTGAGCATAAAAAAATAAAAATAAAAAAATCAATTAAAACATATTTTAAAAGTGTGGCTAGAACAGGTGAATGATCTGGCATTCTAGTTTCTGTAGTCTGTAAAAAGACGATAGGAAAGCTTTGACATTGTGTGCAAACATCATACTCGCCCTGTAGCTTTTAAATTCAAGTGTATATACAACTTATTGTTATCATTTGAAGTCTTTATTGGTGAAACCACATTGTAATATTTCTACAAATACTCGCTCTTCCATAATCCAATAAGAGACACTCCTGTGAAACTCAGTATCTTTTCTTTTTGTTGTTGTTTATTCTTACCCGAGGACACGTTTGCATGTATCTTCAGATAGAGCGGGAGGGAGAGGAAGGAAGAGAGAAAGAGAAAGATCGATGTGAGAGAGACACATCAAGTGGTTGCCACCCACATGACCCCAGCCGGGGCCGGGGACAAACAGTAACCGAGGTACATGCCCTGAGTGGGAACTGAACCCAAGACTCTTTGGTCCGTGGGCCGATGCTCTAACCACTGAGAAAACTGGCCAGGGCTCTTTCTTTTTTTTTAATATATGTTTTTATTGATTTTTTTAGAGAGGAAGGGAGAGTGTGATAGAAACATCGATGTGAAAGAGAAACATCAATCAGTTGCCTCCTTCACACCCCCTACTGGGGGTCGAGCCTACAACCTGGGCATGTGCTCTGACCAGGAATCGAACCGGGACCTCTCAGTCCATGGGATGGTACTCAATCCACTGAGCCACACTGGCCGGGCAAAACTCATTATCTTTTCAACTCTTTTTTTTCCCAGCACAAACTAGAGTGGGATTTACAGCAGAGGGAGGAAGAGATTGCTGAATTACAGAAAGCTCTAAGTGATATGCAAGTCTGCCTCTTCCAGGAACGGGAACATGTTTTGCGCCTCTACTCAGAAAATGACCGACTGCGAATCAGGTACCAAGTAGGAGGAGGGAAATGTGGGAGTTATATTTCTAAATTACACTAAATAAGTTTCTCTGTGGTAATTCTTCTAGGTTGTATTTCCCAGGAAAAAGACTCTGAGATGGAGTTTTGCCTGCAGGTTGGTTAGTAGGGAGGTTCTCAAGAATAGCATCTATGAGAAGACTTGAGCAGGGGAAGAATTTGAAGTGTTATGCAGTGGTAACAGGCTTTAGTCAACCCTACAGAGAGCTCTGAGGCTGGGACGCCCTTTCAGAGACAAAGAAGTCAGACTTTAGTACTTCCACAGTGATGGGTCATTTGAGTTAGGCAGCCACCAGGGAGGGGCTGTAAACTTGGGAGAGGCAGCCCCCTTCAGCCAAAGGCAGTTCCTGAGGGATAGGTATCTTGGTCCTGAAGGTGGCATCTGAGTAGTGTTCCACAGCATCCACTATAGTACACTTTTTTTTTAATGATTTTTTATTTTTCAAGTACAGTTGATGTACAATATCATATTAGTTTCATGTGTACAACCCAGTGATTAGACATTTATTTAACTTAAGAAGTGATCAACCCAATAAAACTAGTACCCACCTGGCACCATATACAGTTATTACAGTATTATTGACTGTATTCCTTATGCTGTACTTGACATCCCATGACTATTCTGTAACTACCAATTTGTACTTCTTAAGCCCTTCATGTTTTTCACCCATCCCCCAAATCCCCTCCCATCTGGCAACCTTCAAAATGTTTTATCTATGAGTTTGTTTCTATTCTGCTTGTTTATTTTATTCTTTTTTTTTTTTTTTTTTATCCTCACCCGAGGACATTTTTCCATTTTTTGTTCAGATAGAGTGGGAGGGAGAGAGAGAGGGAAGGAGGGAGAGAGAGAGAGAGAGAGAGAAGAAGAGAGAGAGAGAGAGAAACATCGACGTGAAAGGGACACATCGAGTGGCTGTCACCCGCACGACTAATCGGGGCCGGGGACAAACTGCAACCGAGGTACGTGCCCTTAGCGGGAACCGAACCCGGGTCTCTCTGGACCGTAGGTCGATGCTCTAACCGCTGAGCCAAACCGGCCAGGGCTATTTTATTCTTTAGATTCCATATATACATGAAATCATATGGCATTTTTCTTTTTCTGTATGATTTATTTCACTAAGCACAGTACCTTCTAGATCTATTTATGTTGTTGCAGGTGGCAAGATTTCATTCTTTTTTATGGCTGAGTCATATTCCATTGCATATATGCATCACTTTTTTATCCATTCATCTATTGATGGACATTTGGGTTGCTTCCATATCTTGGCCATTGTAAATAATGCTGCAGTGAACACATGGATGCATATGGTCTTTTCGGGTTAGTGTTCTGGCTTTCTTTGGATAAATAATGAGAAGTGGAACTGGCTGGATCAAATACTATTTCTATGTTTAAATTTTTTTGAGGCATAATACTGTTTTCCATACTAGTTGTACCATTTTACATTCCTACCAGCAATGCACAAGGGTATTACTTTTTTCATATGCACAACAGCACTTGTTTTCTATTTTTTAAAATAATAGCCATCATAATGGGTGTGAAGTGGAAACTCATTGTGATTTTGATTTGCATTTCCATAATTAGTGATATTGGGCATTTTCACATGCTTATTGGTCATTCATAGAGAAATATCTATTCAAGTACTTTGGCTATTTTTTGAATTGGATTGTTTCTTTTCGTGTTTACTTTTAAAAGTTTTATTATTGTTGTTTAGTTATATATTTTACATATTAATCCCTTATAAGATGAGTGATTTGTAAATGTTTTCTCCCATTCTGAGGGTTGTCATTTTACTCTGTTGATAGTATTCTTTGATGCACAAGTTTTAATTTCCATATAGTCCAATTTGTATATTTTTCTCTTTGTTGTTTCTGCTTTTGGTGTCATATTCAAGAAATCATTGCCACCAATGTCACTATATTTTTCTTCTAACAGTTTTATAATTTTAGCTCTTACATTTAAATCTTTGATCAATTTTGAATTAATCTGTGTATGTGTTGTTAGGTAAACAACTTCATTCTTTTGCATATTGATCTTCAGTTTTCCTAGACCATCTGTTGAAAAGACCGTCTTTTCCCATTGAAAGTTGAAAGTCATTTGACTATATATGTGGGACTTATTTCTGAGCTCTCTATTTTATTGTCTGTCTCTCATTATGCCAGTACCACACTGTTTTGATTATTGGAACTTTGTGGTAAGTTTTGAAATAAAGAATTATGAGTTTTCAAACTTTTTTTAAACTCTCACCCGAGGACATATTTATTCAGATAGAGGGGGAGGGAGAGAGAGGAAGAGAAAGAGAGAGAGAAACATCCATGTGAAAGGGTCACATCGAGTGGCTGCCACTGCACGACCAACCAGGGCCAGGGACAAACTGCAACTGAAGTACACGCCCTTAGTGGGAACCAAACTCGGATCTCTCTGGACCGCAGTTCAATGCTCTAACCACTGAGCCAAACCAGCTAGGGCCACCTTTTTTTTTTTTTAAAGATTGTTTTGACTATTTGGAGTTTCCTGAGATTCCATATGAATTTTAGGATGGATTTAAAATTTTTATTATTATTTTTAGACAGAGAGGAAGGGAAAAAGAGATAGAAACATCGATGTGAGAGAGAAACATTGATCAGCTGCCTCCTGCATGCTCCCCACTGGAGATTGAGCCCACAACTTGGGCATGTGTTCTGATCGGGAATCAAACCAGGACCTCTCAGTCCATGGGATGATGCTCAATCTACTGAGCCTCACTAGCCAGGCAGATTATTTTATTTTTGCAAAAAATATCATTGGGATTTTGATAGGAATTGTACTGAATCTGTAGATTGCTTTGGGTAATATTGACATCTTAATAGTAAGTCTTCCTATCCATGGACATGGGATGTCTTTCTATTTATTATGTGTTCTTTAATTTCTTTCAGCAGTGTTTTCGGTGTAGAAGCCTTTCACTTAAGTTAATTCCTAAGTATTTTAGTCTTTTTTTAAATTATTTTTATTTTTTTATGTTTACTGATTTTTAGAGAGAGAGGAAGGGAGAGGGAGAGAGAGATAGAAACATCAATGAGAGAGAAATATTGATTGGCTGCCTCCTGTACAACCTCTAATGGGGACTGAGCCCGTAACCGAGGCATGTGCCCTGACCAGGAATCTAACCAGTGCATCGGTCAACACTCAACCACTGAGCCACACCAGCTGAGTAGTATTTTATTCTTTTTGATGCTCTTATAAATTTAATTCTTAATTGTTCATTGTTAGTGTATAGAAATGCAACTGATTTCTGCATGTTGAATTTGTGTTTTCCTATTTTGTTGAATTCACTTATCAGTTCTAAGAGTTGTGTTTTGGGATTGGTTTTGTTTGATTTTTTTTTTTTTTTTGGTGCAACCCTTAGTGTTTTCTCCATATCTTAGAGTTTTCTACATAATATAATCATGTCATCTGTGAACAGAGGTCATCTTACCTCTCCCTTTCCAGTTTGCATATATTTTTTTTTGCTTGCTTGCTTACTCTGGCTAGCACTTCCAATACTATGTTAAATAGATATTGCAAAAGTGGGCATCCTTGGCCTGGCTAGTGTGGCTCAGTTGGTTGAGCATCTTCCTATGCACCAAAAAGTTGCACATGCCCGGGTTGTGAGCTCAATCCCCAGTTCAGGGCCTGCAGGAGGTAGTCAATCAATGTTTTTCTCTCTCTCCCCCTCTCTCGCTTTTAAAAATCATAAATACATTTAAAAAAACTGTTTGCAAAAATGGGCATTCTTGTCTTGTTCTTGATCTTAGAGGAAAGCTTTCAGTCTTTCACCATTGAGTATGATGTTTGCTGTGGGTTTTTCATACAGGGCTTTTATTTTATAGAGGTTGTTTCCTTCTATTCCTAGTTTATTGAGTGTTTATATCATATAAGGGTGTTGAATGTTGTCAGTGCATTTTTTTGGTATCAATTGATGATTATAATTTTTCCCCCTTCATTCTGTTAATGTGGTATATTACTTTGATCAGTTTTCAGGTTGAACTGTGCTTGCATTCCAGGAATAAATTCCACTTGATCATGCTGTATAATCCTTTTAGTATGCTGCTGAATTTGGTTTGCTAGTATTTTGTTGAGAATTTTTGCATCAGTGTTCATAAGGGATATTGGTCAGTAGTAGTTTTCTTTTCTTATATTGTCTTTGTTTGACTTTGGTATCAGAGCAGTGCTGGCTTCATAGAATGAGTTAGGAAGTGTTTTCTCTTTTTCAGTTTTTTGAAAAGTTTGGGAGTGATTGGTTTAGACCCTTATTTTTGTTTGTTTATTTATTTCAATTTTTCTTTATTGATTTTAGAGAGAGAAAGGGAGAGGGAGAGAGAAACATCGATGAGAGAGAACAATTGGCCACCTCCTGCATGCCCCCCACTGGGGATTGGGCCCACAACTTGGGCATGTGTGGGGAATGGAACTGGCAAACTCTTGGTGCATGGGTCAACACTCAACCAACGAGCCATACTGGCTGGGGTGGTGTTAGACCTTATTTTATTTCATTTTTTTTATTCCTCACCTGACGATATTTTTCTATTTTATCATCATAGTGTGGGAGGGAGGGAGAGAGAGAGAGAGACAGAGAGAAACATCAATATAATAGAGCCACATCGACTGGTTGCCTTTCTCACAACCCGATCAGGGCTGGGGACGAACCACAACCCAGGTACGTGTCCTTGGCCGGAGTGAACCCACAACTCTTTGGTCTGTGGGCTGACGCTTTAACTGCTGAGCCAAACTGGTCAGGGAATACCTTTAAATGTTTGGTGTAATTCACCAGTGAAGCCATCGGGTCTAGGATTTTTGATTATCATTCAATCACCTTAATGGTTTTAGCTTTGACTTAATGCAGAACTTCTTTTCAACTGAAAGCTCACCTTCCATGTCACTAGATATATGGGTCAGAGCAATATTCAAAAGTATGGAGCATGTTGTCTCCAGAACCTGAATAGCCCTCAGCATTATGCTTCCTTCTTGGTGATGGTAGGTGTGAGATTCAATAATTTGTCCTTGACTTTGAAGGGAAAATTCTGGCATGCCTAGAACAGACCCCTAAAACTTCACTGATACGCTTTGTAGGGTTTACCTTCAACCCTCTGGAGCACATGTATCTCATCAAAGGTCCTAATGCACTTGTCATTTCTTGTCTGTCCAGTCTGATTTAATATCATATCACCAATAGTGAACTAATGTAATCTGTAGAATGGCCAGATCCTGGTCCCTTCAGACAAATTTGATAGAAAGCAGAAAAATTAACATGGTCCTAGAGAAGGACTATAAAAGTATACTGTTGTTCACCCCATATGAATAAGAACTGCTTGTAGTTCTCTTAGGAATGGCTAGGAATACATGAGTTTAATCAGTAGCCACATACCGTGTACCTAAGGCCAAGTTAATCTGCTTTAGCAAAAATACTCCATTTAGCACAGTGACTGAAATTGGGACCTACTTGGTAGTAGTCTACCATAATCCATCTGGTTTTGCATAAGTCAAACTTGTGAATGAAATGAGGATTTGATGGAGACCTTCGTCTGTACATCCTTTAGGTCTTTATTTACCATCTTGGAGTAGGGAGGGGCAGTTTCAGAGGCTTCCACTTATTTTAACCCAGAAGCCCAGAAACCAATTTGGAGGTTTTGCCAACTACCAAATTTGTTCATTTCATTACTCATTTGAAGATGGGGGAAATGACCACTTATTGAGTCTGGATCCACGGGACCCATTGTGAGTTGGACCTAGACCAGAATTCCATTTATTACATGGTTCTTGTATGCCCCAGTGCCATGATAATTCTTCCAGTCACCCGGTATCGATGTCAGCTCAGACCATATATCTAGTAATCTTTGCAATCCCTGGGTATTTCTTTTTCTCCAGTGTACAATTACTTGAATAAATGGCCATAGACCTTTTGGGGAAGGACCAGGGGAATCCTTACATGCACTCTCTGTGGTCTCACCAGGTCCTACCTCTGAGAGACCCAGTTCTTCCATCAGGTAATAGTCTTTGGGTCTTAAAACTGGCTGAGGTGTGGAAAATGTGCAGAGATTGTGATTTTACAGGGCGCATAGCCATCAGTGTCCTTCCCTCTTTGATTTATTTTGTTTAAGCTCTACCCTGTGGACCTATTGAGTCCCCCAATCTGTCTTGCTGTTAAAAATATGTTCCGTAAATCATCTCCATATCACTGGCTCTGAAGTCTCATTGTAGAGTTTACTTCTTGGTCTATATCTGATATAAACTGTCTTAGGTTGGATTCCCTGGAAAACAGACTGCAATGGAAATTTACTTGCAGGATGTTAATAGGGGGTGTTCTCAGGTATAACTATTGCCCAGGCTGGTTTTGCTCAGCGGTTAGAGCGTCAACCTGTGGTCCAAAGAGACCCGGGTTCGGTTCCTGCTAAGGGCATGTACCTCAGTTGCAGTTTATCCCCGGCCCTGGTTGGGTCATGCGGGTGGCAACCACTCGATGTGTCCCTTTCACATCGATGTTTTTCTCTCTCTCCCCCTCCCACTCTATATCCCATTCTATTTGAACAAAAAATTGAAAAATGTCCTCAGGTGAGGATTAAAAAAAAAAAAGAATAACTATTGATGAGGTAATAAGGAAAGTCTGATTGGGCAGAAGTTGAACTGTGATTCAATTACAGCCAGACTCAGCCAATGTCACAGAGTGCCCTAGAGTTGGGGTGGACTTTCAGATATATCCTGAATTGAAACAAGGGGATTGGGCTTTTGTACCCCTCCTTAGTCAGGCACTGGGTGCAGGCTGTCACTTGGCCAAGGCACTCCCTTGATTGATGTCAGTTCTGGAGAAAGATTCAGCTGTGAGCCATCAGCCTGCAGTGTTGCTGGTAGTTGGGAGAATGAACCTATCAGTCCGAAGAAGAGAACCTGAGCCGTATACCCCACCACCCACTATCATGCTTTTCTAGAACTAACTTAAGAAATTAGTTTCTGCTCCTTTCTCTCTGAATTCCTAAATATAAGTACCTGATGTTTTATTTATTTATTTATTTTTTATCCTCATCTGAAGACATTTTTCTATTTTTTGTTCAGATAGAATGGGAGGGAGGGGGAGGGAGAGAGAGAAACATCGACGTGAAAGGGACACATTGAGTGGCTGCCTCCCGCACGACCCAATCAGGACCGGGGACAAACTACAACCGAGGTATGTGCCCTTAGTGGGAACCGAACCCAGGTCTCTCTGGACCGCAGGCCAACGCTCTAACCGCTGAGCCAAACTGGCCAGGGCAAGTACCTGATGTTTTAAAAATTAGTGCTGTGGTCTGGATAAATCCTATTCAATTTTAATTTGTGGTTACTGTTATTTTAAAAATAAGTCAAAAGAAAGATCCTTTAAACAAAAATTTACTTACTCTGGATATGTGTGCTTACTTTCTTTGAGAATTGCAGGGAGCTAGAAGATAAGAAAAAGATTCAGAATCTCTTGGCTCTTGTGGGAACAGACACTGGAGAAGTGACCTATTTTTATAAGGAGCCTCCCAACAAAGTAAGTAATCTTTGGTATAGATAGCATGGTAAACATGGCTTTCACAGAATACAGTGTCAGGTCCATAATCAGAGTCATTTTGGTGCTTGCTAAATAAGTGAGAAAGAGAATTAGTTATCATACTCCCATGTCTACTTAAGTTCTCAGAGCATTTTCTATAATTACAATGTGCTTTATGATTTTCTTCTTTTTCTTCAAAATTATTGGAAAGTATGCCCTGGCCAGTTTGGCTTAGTGGTTGAGCGTCAGCCTGAGGACCAGAGAGTCCCGTGTTCGGTTCCCACAAGGGGCACGTACCATAAAAAAAAATTTATCGGAAAGTAGCATTGGTTACCCATTTCACTACTTGGAAATCTAAAGCACAGAGGAATAGATATTTTGGATGAAATTAGAGAGGAAAGTTGGGATCAGACTTAAGTTTCAATATTCAAGTCTCTTTATTAATTTTTATTTATACTGATTACAAACAATGTGCGGTCTTTATTAAAAACAAACACAGCCCTGGCCAGTTTGGCTCAGCGGTTAGAGTGTCGGCCTGCGGTCCTGAGAGACCTGGGTTCGGTTCCCGCTAAGGGCGCGTACCTTGGTTGCAGTTTGTCACCGGCCCTGGTCGGTTGTGTGGGTGGCAGCCACTCGATGTGTTCCTTTCACATCGATGTTTCTCTCTCTCTCTGTTCCTCTCTCTCCCTCCCATTCTACCTGAACAAAAAATGGAAAAATGTCCTCTGGTGAGGATAAAAAAAAAAAAAACAACAAACAAACAAACACACAGAAATCTATCATATAAAAGTGGTAGTTTCCCACAATGTATATCCCAGAGTTAAAGCTGTTTTTCCATTCATACAGAAATATACGTATATATACTCTTTACATTTTTTATGTATCTAAACCATGCCTCATTGAGCATCTTTATACATATCTACATATGTATACTTCTGTGTACATTACTTTCCTAAAGGCCCTTGTCAAAGATCACTTTTTTATTTATTTTATTTTATTTTATTTATTTATTTATTTATTTATTTATCCTCACCCGAGAACATTTCTCCATTTTATGTTCAGACAGAGTGAGAGGGATAGAGAGGAAGAGAGAGAGAGAAACATTGATGTGAAAGGGACACATCTAGTGGCTGCCTCCGTCACGACCCAACCAGGGCCAGGGACAAACTGTAACCGAGGTACGTGCCCTTAGTGGGAACCGAATGTGGGTCTCTGAGCCAAACCGGCCAGGGCAAAGATCACTTGTTTTAAAGCAGATATTACTGAATTACCCTGAAAGTTTTCTTTGTTTATTTTATATCACCAACTCTGGGTTTTATCCAATTTGTTACTTTGTCCACTTTGGTCCTCATATGAGTAATTTAATTTATGAATATTGTTTATCTGTGGCGCTCAAGCTAAAAGATGAAACATTACATATATAGGAAGGTTATTGCTATACCTTTTTTTTTTTTTTTTTTTTAACTTTTTCAGGTCAGCATTCTCCAAAAGACTATCCAGGCCGTAAATATATGTGAACAGAATGAATCTTCAGCTTTCAGAAGAGGTACCAAGCATAGTATAAATTCTCATTAGTGCAGAATTTAAGAACAGTGCAAATCATTAGAAGTTTTTTTCTACTATACAGTAATAATGAATGTTCATAATGATGCCTCTGGTAAGCTGAGATCTTACTGAGGTGTTTTTTTGTTGTTTTGTTATTTTACCTTTCCAGGATGTTTGTTTGTTTGTTTATTTTGTTTGTGTTTTTAATTGATTTTAGAGAGGGGGGAAGGGAGAGAGAAAGAGAGAAATCGACTAATTGTTCCATTTATTCATGCATTTATTTGTTGCTTCTTGTATGTGTACCCTGACTGGGGATTGAACCTGAAACCTTGTTGTGTTGGGACAATGCTCTAATCAACTGAGCTACCGAGCCAAGACGCCATGATGTTTTAGTGGAGTAGAAATAAAAAATATATAATTAATATACTTATGGTGATAATTTGTAAAACTGACTTGGACAACTTCTAGAATCACAGAATATTACTTAGCCTCTCTAAGCCTCAGTCATCTTGTCTCTCTCTTTTTTAATGGGAACTTAATTTTCTTTTTCTTTAAATTGATATATAATTGACAATATAACATTATATTAGTTTCAGATGTACAACATAACAGTTTGATATTTGAATATATTACAAAATGATCACCACAGTAAATCAAGTTAACATCCATCACCATATAATTATACATTTTTTCTTATGGTGTGAACTTTTAAGATCTGCTCTCTTAGCATGAGCTCTTGAATTATCTAAGGAATTAAATTTTGTTTGATGCAATTTAAGTGTTGCTTATTTTAACAATAATTTTGTCTTTTAAAAACGGTGATATATCATAATCAAAATGTATAGATTTTTTTTTTTATTCCTTACCCTTTCTGATTAAATAAGATTTTACAAAGAAAATAGACACAGATGTTTAATATTATCCAGGTGACATCCTAGTAGAGTTCCTTTATTTGAAAAATCAAGCATTTAAGTTATTGTTTGTTTTCCTTTTTCTTCCTTTTCTTCTCTTACAGGTAAATGAAACTAAACTCCTATGCAAAGGTAATGCTGATACTTGAATAGCAGAAAGAAAAGCCAAATAAAAGTCTTTATTATTTTTGTTTTCTATTTTAGATTCTAAAGTAAGCAAAATAAAACCAGCAATGAGAGAGAAGGAAGAAAGTTCTAAGCAGTACCAAAGAGACATACAAACACTCATCCTACAGGTAAAGAGTTTATTTTGGCAGACCAAAACAGTTTCTATTGTACCCTCAAGCTTAGCTTGGTATACCATGCCTTCACTGTCAGATAAGCATCTCCTTGCATACATGTTACATATAGGCATCATGTGATTAAGAAAACTGAGGTTATTCATACTTTATAGAAGCTTATTTTTTTTTTTTATCCTCACTCGAGGACATTTTTCGATATTTTGTTCAGATAGAGTGAGAGGGAGAGAGAGAGAGAGAAACATCGATGCGAAAGCGACACATCGAGTGGTTGCCACCCACACGACCCAACCAGGGCTGGGGACAAACTGCAACCAAGGTACGTGCCCTTAGTGGGAACCGAACCCGGGTCTCTCCGGACTACAGGCCAACGCTGTAACCGCTGAGCCAAACCGGCCAGGGCTAGAAGCTTATATTTTAAAACCATTAGTCTATATTAACCATTCTAGAGATGCTATTCTGAACCTTCATTTTACTCAGTTTATTTGCTGAGCCCTACCCAACAAAACCATTATACAGTAAGAATTCCCTTTGTGGTTGCCTGGGGATTACACAGAGAGTTGCAGTTGTCTGTGCTGATAGATCAACCTTTGAGGGGTATGTCAGTTTATTTAGTGCATATGTTCTAAGTCTAGGAAAGTAGTGAATCATTTGCAACCACGATTTGCAACCACGATTTTTCATCTAGATGCACTCCAGTTCCTGTCATTATCAGGGGGGTTCTATTGATTTAAATGACAGTTTCTGTCTTTGGCCAGTATCTCCATTTGTAGTCATGACAGCCAAACTCGGAGAAGGAAATTATATTATACTACTCATTTTGCTCCACTTTTTAAATAAAGAAAAGAGTCATTCTATTGCTGTACAACTAAGGAGTCTTAAAGAGGCAATAGTGATCAAAGTTTTAGCCCTGGCCACTTTGGCTCAGCAGTTAGAGCATTAGCCTGCGGTCCGGAGAGACCCGGGTTCGGTTCTGCTAAGGGCATGTACCTCGGTTGCAGTTTGTCCCCGGCCCTGGTTGGTCGTGCTGGTGGCAGCCACTCGATGTGCACCTTTCGCATCGATGTTTCTCTCTCTCTGTCTTCCTCTCTCTCCCTCCCACTCTATCTGAACAAAAGATGGAAAAATGTCCTTGGGTGAGGATTAAAAAAAAAAAAGTTTTAAAAAGGAGATAATGAAGAGTGAGAATCTTAAGCTAGGGGAAACTGGCACTCTGTGTGATGTAGATGCTTTGCTGTGTGTAAACAATCTGCTCTTGTGTGGTCTAATCACGTTACAACTCACTGAATAAAGAGGAGTGCCTGCTGAGGCTTTTCTTCTATTTGTTTTGCTGCTCTGCTTTTGTTTTGTTGTTGTTTGGGGGGGGGTTGTTTTTTTTTTTCTGGAGAAAGGGTTACTTTTAATCCTCACTGGAGGATATTTTTCTATTTATCTTCAGATAGAGTGGGAGTAAGGGGGAGAGAGAGAAACATCAATGTGAGAGAGACACATCAACTGGTTGCCTCCTGCATGAGCTATACCAAGGCCAGGGACAAACGGCAACCGAGGTCTGTGCCCTTGACCAGAATTGAACCCGTGACTCGTCGGTCCTTGGATGCTCTACTGCTGAGCCAAACCGGCCAGGTCAAAAAGGCTCACTTTTAGAAATACGGAGTTGGAGGAAGCAGGGCAAGAGTGGCTGCCTCACCCTTTCTGACCTGTCTAGGTGGAGGCCCTGCAGGCTCAGCTGGAAGAACAGACCAAGCTTTCTAGAGAGCAAGTTGAAGGGCTCATGGAGGATAGACGGATCCGCATTGAGGAAATACAAGTTCATCACCAAAGAAATCAGGACAAAATCAAAGAGCTTACCAAAAAGTGAGTGTTCAAGAAAGCTGTACCTAACAGATTTTTAAATTTTCTGAGTGGCTTAAAAGTTAACCATCCTGGGCTTTTAGCAGCCTGGTGTCATGGAACTGACAGGGACCTTGAAAAAATTATCTTTAGCATACACACCCACCTCTAGGTAGGTAGGTATCCAGGCTTTTCCAGGAATGCTGTTGATTCTTTTCTTGACGAGCTGGTAGGTATTTCATTTAACCCATTTTAGTGCTTCAGCTTGATCTTAGTGATAAAGAAATGTTCTCTTATCCACTGATATATTATCTGACTCAGTACAGTAAGGCTCTTTTCTTTTGTTCGGCCCTTTATGAATATGGAAAAATAGGACTTAACATACCTGTCCAAAAAAAAAACTCTCTGTACTCACTGCTTTTGTTTCTTACCTGCCTGCCTTTCCTTACCTTTCTGTAGTGTGATTTCATCCCCATCATTTTATTAAGCGTACCCTTTCCAGGGTCATCACTGACTTCTTAATTTCTCTGACCAGTTATCTCTTTATAGTCCTCATTGTAATTACTATCTTTTTGCATATTTGGCAAATCCGATCACTCTGTCTTTGAAGTTAATCTCCCTTGATTTCTGTAACACCTGTCGTGTTTGGGTGTTTGGTGCTTCTACCTATCTAACCCACCTCAACCTTTTGTCTGGTTCCAGTGGCCAGACCTGTACTGTAGAACATCTTCAGTTGAATATGCTTGAACATCTCAAATTGACCATGATTGAAACCAATCTGTTTTTTTTTTTTCTCCCAACAAGCATCCTTTCCCCCATCTCAAACCTGGTACTTAATTCTTTTTCCCATTTAGTTTAATGACGTCACATCCAGTTTCCTAGGCTTGAAACCTCAGGGTTATCTTCAACTCCCCACTCTTATTCCCTAATTCCAGACCCTATTGAGTGCAAGCCTAAGAAGCCTCTCAAATCCATTCTCTGCCCTTTCATTCTTACTGTATTGGTTCAAGTTATATTCTTGTTTAAATTGTTGCAGTAATGTAAGTGTTCTTCCTGTCACTGGTCCCTTTGTATTCATTCAGTAGTCTTCCTCACTATTACTGGTAGCTCCTCCATTAGGATTTATCAAAAACATTTGATAGCTCCCTGTTTATCGTATGATAGAGCCCTGATACCTTAACATAAATTATTAGGAACTTCCTCTGGCACTAAATTAACCTTTCAGTCTCACCTATCCTTTCCTGTTGCTATAGTTCACCTTGTCCTTCAGCCAAACTAATGATATCTATCGTTTAGGGAACACTTGCTATGTGGCAGGTACTTTCCTTCGAGTGTTACTCCTCTGAAAACTTCCCCAGGCAGAATTAAATTTTTCCTCTTCCACATTTCCATAATGATTAACATGCCTCTATGATGACACATATCATCACCTATTGTAATTATGTCTTTGTTCCTCCAGGGTCTTGCCCTGTCTACATAATAGGTATGCGATAAACATCTGTTGAATAGTTGGTGATGCTTATCAAGTTGCGTCTTACCACCTCTCCTCTGTGTTAAACATCCTAAATTTAAAAATATTTTTTCATGTCACCCACCTGGTGTGGCTCAGTGGATTGAGTGTTGTCCCATGGACTGAGAGGTCCCGGGTCGATTCCGAGTCAGGGTGCATGCCCGGGTTTTGGGCTTGATCCCCAGTAGGAGGTGTGCAGGAGGCAGCCAATCGATGTTTCTCTCTCTCTCTCTGTAAAAATCAATAAAAACATAAAAAAGAAAATTTTTTTACTTTATTGATTTTAGAGAGAGAGGAAGTGGGAGGGAGAGAGAGATAGAAACATCGATGAGAGACAACATCAATTGGCCGCCTCCTGCATGTCTCCCACTGGGGATTGGGCCCACAACCTGGGCATATGTCCTGACCGGGAATCAAACCGGTAATCTCTTGGTGCCTGGGTCGATGCTCAACCAGTGAGCTACACTGGCAGGACAAAAAAAACATTTTAAAAAATTGAATGTGATACTCTAAAATTTCTGACCAATACATGCTAGAAAATGCTTTATTTTAGGTATTTTGTGCTTATGTATATCACCATCACTTTTCACCGGACTTGTTTTTAAGGAAATAGTATTTTTTAATTATTGTAGCAAATTGTAATTGTATATCTGTCTTCCAGAATATTAATAACCATCCTAGTTTAGCATCATCTGCATATCTGAGCATATGATCAGTTCCTTCCATTATGTCATCCTAAGGATATCAAATGGCATGAAATTCAAAGCCATTGATGACTGCCCTTTGGTGTCACTTTCAGCCATTGTACATTAACAAGACCATACTTTCCTTGTTTGTAATTGAGAACATAATGTAAGATAGAATAAAATAACACATCAAAAACAAGAGATAACCTTATGGTAACTAAATTACTCTCTCCTTTTTTTAATATATTTTTATTGATTTTTTTGGAGAGAGAGGAACATCAATGTGAGAAACATCAATTTGCTGCCTCCTGCATGCCTCCTACTGGGGATCGAGCCCACAACCTAGCCATGTGCCCTGACCGGGAATTGAACTAGGACCTCTCAGTTCATGGAACGATGCTCAATCCACTGAGCCACACCAGCTGGGCACTGTTTCCCTCTTTATACACACATATACATATGTAATTTATTTATTTTTAATCTGCTGACAGTTCCTCTACTTTGTGCCTGGCATTATTCTATCACTGTCCTCTTACCTGTGTACCCTATTACTCATGAAAAGAACTAAGTGGATCTGACATTATTTGTTCAGTGGAAAATGATAGTGATTGCCTCACAGTATTTAATGCTCTTTGCAAACAGTTTAATTATATGCTACAGTATTTTTCTAAGTGTTGATGTTAAATTGATGAGTTGCTTACTTCTAGGATATTCTATTTCTAAATCTCAGTCAGCAGGAATCTGTTTAGTACTTTGTGTATGTCTATTAGTTGCTACTGTCCTACACAGTTTGGTGGTAGCAGGGCAAAAATATATGATAAATGCCCTGGCCAGTGTGGCTCAGTTGGTTGAGCGTCATCCTGTGCATCAAAAGGTTGCCGGTTCTGTTCCCAGTCAGGGCACATGCCCAGGTTGCAGGTTCGATTCCCAGTCAGGGTGTGTGTGGGAGGCAACCAGTCGTCGTTTCTCTCTCACATCAGTGTTTTCTCTCTCTCTCTCAAATCAATGAAAACATATATTTTATATATATATATATATGATAAATAAGTATATACTTTCACTCAGGTTGAAAAACATGCATGTTGACAATTAAATCATGACAGTTTATAAGCAAGTTGAATTAGAACACAGGAGACTAAATTTAAACTGATAAGGAATTTCAGACAGTGGAGTAAGTAAATGGCCTGAAGTTGTCGAGATGACTACGTAGAGGAAGTTGATCTTGAAAACAAGACAAGATTTAATACAGTTTACATGTAGAGCACAGTATAATAAACCAACACAGAGCTGTTTTTGACATTTTAGAATTTGTGTTAATGCTCAGTCTGAACACCATGAGTTAGTTCTTTTTTGTTGCTGTTATTCATCCTCACCTGAGCATATTTTTTTCATTGATTCTTAAAGAGAGTGGAAGGGAGGGAGGGAGGGAGGGAGGGAAAGATCAATATCAATTGGTTGCCTCCCACATGTGCTGCAACCCAGGTACTTGCCCTTGATCAGGAATTGAACCTGCAACCCTTCTGTACATGGGCTGACGCTCTAACGACTGAACTACACTTGCCAGGGCTGAGTTCTTTATTTTAAAGTCTAGTGCCTGGGAATAGTCCATACTTAAGAAGGCTATGCGTAAATACTTCTGTAGTCTTTCTAATTATCTAACCTGAAATTAGCACTTGGCAAAGTATCTGTAAAAACCAGTCTGTGAATCAGTGAACATAGGTAAATACATTACACTTTGTCCGGTAAAACATGTGTGATTACCAGCGATCAGATTAAGCATTTTTTAAAACTGCTAATATTTTACAGAATTTATATATTGTACAATTTTTAGAGAACGTTTATCTTTCCTTTGTTTGGAATAACTGTTGTATGTGCTATGTAAGCATCTCACATCCACCTTTGTACTTTCTTTCATAGTCTCCATCACACCCAAGAACTGCTCTACGAGAGCACCAGAGACTTTTTGCAACTCAGATTTGAAAACCAAAATAAAGAGAAGTCCTGGATGCTTGAAAAGGATCATTTGCTATCAAAGATTAAGCAATACAGGGTACAGTATAAGAAGAAAGAAGATAAAATTGGGAAAGTTTGGCCAGTTCATGAGAGTCATCGTAAACAAAATGAATATATTAAGGTAATTTCTGTGTATCTTACAGAAATTCTTTTTTTTTTTCCTGCAAGAATTTGAAAGGACTCAGATAATTCCAAAGAACCTAAGAATTATCATACAAGCTCCATCTAGTCCAGGAAGCTGATGTAGCCGTAACCTCAAGAAACAGGTTTCAAAGAATAGTTTATCATTGTAGTGTTTGGAGATTTTGAAAATTAAGCGATTGTTTGATTCATTAATCGATTGATCGATCAGTCAATTGATTCATTCATTTGATTCAACAAATATTTAATACACTCGTACTATGGTCTAGCCTTGGGCTACAGCTGTAAACAAGCTCCACCAGGTGTGCCATCATGGTATTTACATCTTAATGGGTGAGAAAGAACAGAAAGATTAACAACCAACCAAGAAAATGATAGGTTATCAGCCCTGGCCAGGTAGCTCAGTTGGTTAGTGGCACATACAAGAATCAACCAATGAATACATAAATAAATAAAACAACAAATAGAGTTTTCTTTCTCTCTCTCCTGTCCCCCCTTCCCTTTACTCCCTTTCTCCTTCCCTCCCCCTCCCCCTCCCTCTCTAAAATCAGTAAATAAAACATTTTTTTAAATGATAGATTATGAAAAAATGGTATTAAGGACTTAAAAGGATTATATGGAGATTATATATAGTTGCTGGAAGTCTATTTTTATGGAGAAGCACAGGGACACTTGCTTAAGTCTGATGTTTTTTACTGAGACCTGAAAAATGGGACTGAGCTTGCTGTTAGATCTAGGGGAGGAGCATTCCAGGGAGAGAGAGAGCGAGTTTAAAGGCCCTGGAGTATGTATGTTCAAAAAGGAAGTGGTATAAAAGGAGGTTGGAGGGGTGGCCTCCATGATTGGCTGCTACGCTCTCCTCCAACCTCCTTTGTATCACTTCCTCCTTGTTTATTTATTTCTCTATAAGCATGACATTCTTTCTTTTCCTTGACCATACTCCAAGGCCTTTAAACTAATGCTCTTCCCCTAGGTCTGTGTATAAGGAAGTATTCTGACTGCTCAATGGGACATGTAGAAGTGTTGAAGTTTCTTTTTTTTTTTTATCCTCACCCGAGGACATTTTTTCATTTTTGGTTCAGATAGAGTGGGAGAGAGAGGTGGGGGGAGGGAGGGAGGGAGAGAGAGAGAGAGAAAGAAAGATGTGAACGGGACACATTGAGTGGTCGCCACCCACACGACCCAACCAGGGCCGGGACAAACTGCAAATGCGGTACATGCCCTTAACGGGAACTGAACCTGGGTCTCTCTGAACCGCAGGCCGATGCTCTAACCACTGAGCAAAACCAGCCAGGGTGATGTTTCTTTCTTTTTAAAGAACTTCAGAAATGTGTCCCAAACATATACAGTAGTCCATTGGTATCATCAGGGGATTGGTTCCAGACACCCAAATCAACAGTTGCTGAAATCCCATATATAAAATGTCATAGTATTTGTATTAACCTGCACACATCCTCCCATATACTTGAAGGCATCTTTACTTATAATACCTAATACAATGTAAATGCTGTGTAAATAGTTGTTATATGGTATTGTTTAGGGCAGCAATTTCAACCCACGTGCTGCAAGAATTTTTTTTTCTTTATTGATTTTAGAGAGAAAGGAAGGGAGAGAAAGAGAAAGAAACATCAATGGGAGGGAACATAAATTGGACTGCACTGGGCCCCACTGGGGATTGGGCCCACAACCCGGGCATGTGCCCTGATCAGGAATCGAACCGGCAACCTCTTGGTGCATGGGTCTACGCTCAACTACTGAGTCACACTGTCTAGGCAGTGAGAATTTTTAAAGCATGTAATACCTGACAATCTAGTCAAGAGTACTTATTGACCTCTTTTCCTTTAGATTGTCAAATTAAAAAATGACAACAGCCAACACAACAATCGCCATCTGGTATGAATGAACCAAAATTATACCTGTTTTTTGATAAAATCAGCAAAAAATATCTATTTTGGTGTGCCGCAGAATTTTAGTAATTGGTTAGTGTGCCATGAGATGAAAAAGGTTGAAAATTGCTGGTTTAGGGAATAATGACAAGAAAAAAAGTGTGTACATGTTTAGTAGGCCTAACTTCATAGTACCTGTCAGCAGCAGGGTACCTCCCCCCCGCCCCCCTGAATATTATGGTTGGTTGAATCCATGGATGTGGAACCTGCGGATACAAGGGCTGACTATGTTCTTATGTCTTACTTGGGACAGTTCTAAACTCTATTATCTACTCTTCACATAGCCAAAAATATTTGTTTTACTTTAAAGGATTTCTACTCTGTACACTTTAGAAAAAGGCTAAGAGAGAATCCTCTTTCAAATGTTCTCCAGAGTTCTTTGCTATCTTGTTACTTAACTCATTTGTACTTTTGGCCATCCTTTCATTTCTTTCTTTCTTTACCTAAATGCTATTTGAATTACCTAAATTGTAGAACTGAGTATTGTGTTTTTTTCCCTTTGATCTGAAGTCTCTAAAGGATAAGTTATTACAAGAGAAAAAGCTGTCCAACATGTACCAACAGCAGTGTATTTCCCTAGAAGAAGAACTTGCCCGAATTCGTGAGGAAGAGGGAGCGAGGAGAGAGATCTTTAAGGTACAAAAATCTCTGCCACTTATGATAGTGTGGGAAATCAGATGGCTCAGGGAATGCTTCCCTCATCTTCATATGCCTTCCCATTTCCCTGTGTGTAGGACCGCTCCAACAAGATGGGGAAGCGTTTACAGGTAATGACAAAACGCTATGAGGCCTTGGAGAATCGGCGTGTCTTGGAAGTAGAAGGCTTTAAGACAGATGTTAAGGCTCTCCGGCAGAAACTAAAAGACTTGGAGCAAATGCTCTATAAGGTAATTGCTAAAACTGAATTACTAAAAGGGAGAAAAGGGGTACAAGTGAGAAAAGAAGGTCATGAGGGTTCCTCAGAAGAAAGATGTGTTGTTTCCCTGGTGGTAGGTACTAATGGATCAGCATTCATTAAGTCTTACTAAAATTGTAACATACTAGAGGGAAGATGAAAATAGGTCAAGATAATTGAATGACTGCATCATTATACTTTTTTCCCCCATCATTATATTTTTATCTAAGTTAAACTTAACGGAAATTTCCATCCCTCCAGATTCAAAAAGTAAATTAAAAGAGCTTTGTCTATTTTATAAATAGGGAAAGTGAGTAATTGAGTAATACAATAATTTTTCTCTACCAGACACAGCTTTATTTAGAAAAAAAGTTGCCTCAAGAGCCATCTTACAGAGATTTAACCAGTTGTTTGCATATCCTAAATGATCACTCTGTCCCAAACAAAGATGATTATAAAAAGGAAGAGGTACTTTCTTTGGCAGACTTAAGTGATGTTTATATTGGTCTCTTCTTTTTGCTCGTTGTTTATTGATCTCTATCTCAAGGCTCCTTTACTGTTCTATGGAAAACAAAGAGTTTCCTGCCTTTTCTGCTTTGATTTTACTCTACATTACCATCTTTTAGTTAGTTACTAAAACTAAGGATTGACTTTACCTTATGTACCAAATGTGTCTTAAAAAGGAGCCAGCATAGCCTGGTCTTTATGACTGATTTCTCTCCTCTGGCACATCCTGTAATCATTTCTTTTTTTTTTTTTTTTTTCAAATCTCTAGGCAACACTTAATGCCCGGGCAAACCAGGATCTTGCCATTCTGTGTGAGGTTCGTGACAGCAATAGACGGGCTCATAAGATACAAGGAGAACTGAAGAACCTGAAGTCCAAAGTATTTGGTCTAGAGAATGAACTTAGACTCTGTTGATGTTTACTTTTAGAAATGGCCCTTGTCTGTAATGAGTCTGCTTTTTGAAATCTGAAAAAATGTCATCATCTCCCACAAACCGTGGCAGGGTTGACTAGAATGGTGGTATCTATTATTATAAAGACAGGGTAGAGAATCAGGGACCACTAAAAAGCCATTCTTGCATGCTAAACTTTATCGTTTTTGCTGTCCTATTAACCTTTTCTTTTTTTGGTCTGTATTATAACCTAAATTACTTAGAGATGTTCCCACATTATTTTTCCCATTTATAATGAGAGGTTATTTTTGTTTTGTTTGTTAATCCTCACCCGAGGATAATTTTTCCATTGATTTTTTTTTTTTTTTTTTTTAAGAGAGAGTGGAAGGAAGGAAGGGGAGGGGTGGAGAGGAGGGAAAAGAGAGAGAGAGAGAGAGAGAGAGAGAGAGAGAGAGAAAGAGAAACATCAATGTGAGAGAGACACATTGATTGGTTGCCTCCCACATGAGCCCCAACTAGGTCCAGGATATGTGCCCTTGACCGGAAATTGAACCCTTGACCCTTTGGTGCAAGGGCCAGTGCTCTAACCACAGAGTCACACTGGCCAGGGTGAGAGGTTTTTGTTTTTTAAGAAAACAGTGACCATGAAAACTTAGGAAGAAAGCATATTTGCTATGAGTGTGGCTGAGTGTCATTAGGAGGAACACTTTCCTTGAGGAGATAAAGGCAGAGGGAAGAGGCTGCAAATCACAACTGGCAAGTGTGAATAGGCGGTGATTCTGCATTGAGGCCTGAATTACTTTTCTGGACACCCAGTCTCATGAAGGTTCACCAGAGGGCGATATAGACCTTACTCTTAAGCAAAATGATTATCTAGGAGAGTAAGGGTGCCACTTTGGTAAGAGTGAGTAAAACTTAAATGGTCCTTGTATGGAAAACTCATTATTGTACCAATAACAAGTTTTTTTAAATGTATATATTTTTAATGAACTATTTTTTCAATAAAATGTGTAATTGAAAATATTCTTTTGAGTTTTTTATAATTTCATCTTAAAACCACATTTATACTTGGTTAATGACTCTTGTTCCATGGTCTCTGCAGTCTTCTACAAGCATTAAAGTTTTCCTAAACATATTCCTTACAGTCATCTGGTGTTGGAGATAGCAAAGATAGTACTAAAGGTGATGGCACCAAGACCTTATCCATTTTTTCCATCTATATCCTCTTTTAGGCAAATTGCTATGCATTTGAAGCAAAATAAGCATGTGTGTACCTGGACAGTCTCTGGGAAATTAGTTGGTCTTAGCTTAGTATGTCATCTTGTGATTTACCCAGGACAAAGCAATGTAAAGAACTCAGGTTTTTATATTTGTGTTAAGGAAAATGGTAATTAAATGGTCAGTAGGAGATGCTGCCTTTTTTATTTATTTATTTTTAATGTTTTTATTTATTTCTTTTTTTTTAGAGGAAGGGGGAGAGAGAGAAACATCAATGTGAAAGAGAAACGTCGATCAGATGCCTCTGGCATGCCCCCTACTGTGGATCGAGCCCACAACCCAGACATGTGCCCTGACTGGGAATTCAGTCCGTGGGACAACTCTCAGTCCACTGAGCCACACCAGCCGGGTGATGCTGCCTTTTTTAGCAGATCAGGTTTTTTTCACTAATAACTTGGGACAGAAATTCCCAGAGGGACCAGTCCTAAGCTTTACAGGCGTGTATTATAGTGGATGGGTTTTTTTGTTTGTATATTAATCTTCACCTGAGGATATTTTTCCATTGATTTTTACAGAGTGGGAGGGAGGGGAATTAAGAAACATTCAGCCCTGGCCGGTTTGGCTCTGCGGTTAGGGCATCGTCGGGCTGTGGACTGGAGAGTCCTGGGTTTGGCCTCCTACTAGGGGCATGTACCTTGGTTGCAGTTTGTCCCCAGCCCCAGGGCCGTGTGGGTGGCAGCCTGTTGATGTGTCTCACATCAATGTTTCTCTCTCCCTTTCTCTCTCCCTCCCACTCTATCTGAAGATGAATATAAAAATTTCCACGGGTGAGGATAAAAAATAAAATTAAAATTAAAAAAAGAGAAACATTGATATGAGAGAGATGCGGCCCTATAGTGCATGGACCCACATTCTAACCACTGAGAACACCAGCCAGGGTCATGACTTGCTGTTTTGATGCTGGGAAAAATACAAAGCCCTGTTGAATCAGAAGTTCAGAGTAAGAAGGAATCTTAGAGATCATATAATCCAATAAGCAGTACAGAGTAGTGAAAGGGCCTACCTGGGTTTTGGAGAACCACAGGAGTAGATTCAATCATGCCTCTTCCTAAAACTCTCAAGGCTCTAATCTCTTCATCTGTAAAATATGAATCTACCAGCTTCAGCAGGGTGATTGTGAAAATTAACAAAATCTAGTATCCAGAATATATAAAGAACTCTTACAACTCAACAATAAAAGGACAGCACAAAAAATGGCCAAAGAATATACATAAATGGCCAATAACATTAAAAGATGCTCAACATCGTTAGTTATTAGGAAAATGGACTTCAATAAAGAGAGACCACTTCACACGCACTAGGATGGCTATAATACAAAAGGTATTAGGTGCTAATGAGGTTGTGGGGAAACTGGAAGCCTGAAATATTGCTAATGGGATGTAAAGTGGTGCTGCTGCTTAGGGAAACAGTCTGGCAGTTGCTCAAAAATTTAAACAGTTACCATATGATTCAGTAATTCCACTCCTTAGGTATATACCCAAGATAAGTGAAAATATACATCCCCACAAAAACTTGGACACAGGTGTTCATAGCAGCATTTATTCATAAAGCCATAAAGTAGAAACGACCCAAAAGTCTATCAACTGGTGAATGGGTAAACAAAATACAGTACATCCATTCAATGGAATGTTATTGAGACATAATAAGGAATGAGACAGACATATCCTGCAACATAGGTAAACCTTAAGAACATTATGCCAAGTTAAAGAAGCCAAACACACAAGGCCGCACATTGTATAAATCCATATACATGAAAAGTCACAATAGGAACAAAGTCACCATAGAAACAAAGTAGGTTAGTGGTTGCCAGAGGCTGAGAAGAGGGGTTCAGAATGAGGAATGACTGCTGGTAAGTGCAGGGTTACTCTTGGGGGTCATGAAGATGTTCTAGAATTAATGGTGATGGTTGCATAACTAAATATACTAAAAGCCACTGCATTGTACACTTTAAAAGGGTAAATTTTATGAGTTGTATATATATATATATAAATTTTATGAGTTGTATATATATACACACATTTATAAAATTATATGTTTTATTTATTTTTTTATCCTCACTCGAGGACATTTTTTGATATTTTGTTCAGAAAGAGTGGGAGGGGGAGAGAGAGAGAAACTTCGACGTGAAAGGGACACATTGAGTGGTTGCCACCCACACGACCCAATCAGGGCCGGGGACAAACTGCAACCGAGGTACGTGCCCTTAGCGAGAACCGAACCCGGGTCTCTCCAGACCGCAAGCCAACGCTCTAACCGCTGAGCCAAACTGGCCAGGGCTATATGTTATATTTTATATAAATATATGTTATATACTTTTTTTTTTAAATCCTCATTTGAGGATATTTTCCCATTTATCTTCAGATAGAATGGGAGGGAGGGAGAGAGAGAGAAACATCTGTGTGAGAGAGATACATTGATGGTTGCCTCCTGCATGACCCCGACCAGGGCCAGGGACGGAACCGCAACTGAGGTACGTGCCCTTGACTACAATCGAACCCAGACTCTTTGGTCTGCGGGCCAAAGCTCTAACTGCTGAGCCAAACCAGCCAGGGCATGGGTTGTATATATATATTTTTATTCCATATATGTATTCTGTATATATTTTTATCCTCACCTGAGGTCATTTTTTCCATTTTTTGTTCAGATAGAGTGGGAGGGAAAGAGAGAGAGAGAAACATCGATGTGAAAGGGACACATCAAGTGGCTGCCTCCCACAGAACCCAACCAGGGCCAGGGACAAACTGCAACCAAGGTATGTGCCCTTAGCAGGAACCAAACCCAGGTCTCTCTGGACTGCAGGTCAACACTCTAACTGCTGAGCCAAACTGGCCAGCGCACAGGTTGTATAATTTTTAAAGTTCATGAAATGGCTTAGTTTTGTGCCTAGTATACAGCAGGCATTTAATTACAGTTAATGACCTGGCCGGTTTGGCTCAGCAGTTAGAGCATTGGCCCACGGACTAGAGATTTCTGTAAGGGCACGTACATTGGTTGCAGTTTGTCCCCGGCCTCGGTTGGGGTCGTATGGGTAGCAACCACTCGATGTGTCTCTCTCATGTCAATGTTTCTCTCTTCCTCCCTATCTCTCTCCTGCTCTATCTGAAGATAAACGCAAAAATGTCCTCGGGTGAGGATAAAAAATAATAATAATAATAATTACAGTTAACTATTATCTATATTTTGGCTTCAATCGACTTCATATCAAGTGCCCTCCATTGTTAGTCAAATTTGAACATGAATTGAATACCGTTTATTTTTTCATTTCACATTTTATTCTGAGGTGTTTTGTATGTATCAGAAATTGTGCTGGATCTTAAGTTTATAGAGAACATGAAAACAGTCTTTGTGCTCCAAAGACTGATGGGAAGGTAAGTGCTATGGGTGCATAGGGATAGAAAGCAGCAAAGAAGGTGACTTAAATGAGACCATATTTGAGCTGAATTGTAAAAGTGAACTGAGAGTCAGACAAGAGTTTGGGCATTCTTGGTGGAAGGACATGTGTGAAGGGATGCAAGAATGGAATGTTGGGGAAGTGCAAGGACTGGAGACAATGTCATGTAATATAGGACATAGGAAATATATGAAATTTCATTTAATATGATATTGTAAAGTCAGCCCAGCGGTGTGGCTCAAGGTACTGAATGATGTCCCATAGACTGAGGGGTCCTGGTTCTAATCCTCGTCAGGGCCCAAGCCCAGGTTGTGGGCTCAATCCCCAGCAGGGGGTGTGCAGGAGGCATCTGATCGAAGTTTCTCTCTCACATCGATGTTTCTCTCCTCCCTCTGTCTCTAAAAAATTCAATAAAAACATATTAAAAAATAAAACAAATAAATGTTCTCTTCTAACCTATATATGAGTCACTTAATGTCACCTTTTTATCCATTGAAATGTATGTGGTTTCTTTCACAGCAAAATAGCCTCTGACTATGTTGTTTTTGGTCCAG